TTCAATTGATGAAGAGAGGAAAAGAGTTGCGTACTTCATGAATTCGGCCTTGCCCAAGATCTCGCACCCGGTCTCCTCGCTCAATCCTCGCAACTTGATGAGGGGGGTGTTGCCCACAGCACCGGGGAAGCCCTCGACCAGCCCGTTGTTGAAGGTGCTCCATCTTCGGCTGAAGCTGCTGCTCCGGTGGAGGGAGAGCAGCGTTGCGGGAGAAAACGAGGGTGAGGTCGTGTGGAGCAACGAACCAGCTCGCCGGCTGGGCATCAGGCTGCGTGGGGTCATGTGCTTCATCTTGTGCTATCAAGAAGGCCTTTGGCCACCACGCCAGACGCCAGGCACCACCGCAAGAATATCGGCGAACCACCATAGGATCATCGGCCCCGCTACATGTTCGGCGGAGTCCTACACCGCTCGCCCCTGACTTTGTCTGCGATTGTTGCCGGTAAGCAGAGTGGCGCAGTGGAAGCGTGGTGGGCCCATAACCCACAGGTCGATGGATCGAAACCATCCTCTGCTAATTCCTTTTTGCTTTACCACTTGATGTCACAAGGAATTGGCAACAGTTTGGGTGGTACAACTAGAAGAGAGAAAGAGTGCCTGAGCCGCCGATTGCGTCCACGTAGGTGTAGGCCGGGTAGTGCGATGTGGAGGAGTTGAGCTTGGGAACGGCGGGAAGCGAGCCACTGATCAAGCCCCAGGCATCCACCACCACAGGACCCGTCTTGGCAAAGGGTATGCGCGTCACTTGCCACTGTGACGGCGGCCCTCGTCGTGTGAGCAAAGTGGTGGTGGTTGGACGCCCGCATCGTGCACGATTAAGGGAAGCGTACCTTGGCCTGTACGGTGCTGCCCGGTTGGAGGGTGCCGAGGTCGAGCGTGAGGCTGCCCTTGCTGAGCGGGAGGTTGGGCGGCAGGGTTATGCGGGCAGTCACGTTCGTGGCCACGAAGGCTGCTACCGCCTTCTCCCCGGCGGTGACGGGGCAGAACGGCTCCGGGCAGGTGTAAGTGATGCTGGCGACCATCGTGGCAAGGTTGTTGCCCTCCTTGTGTTGCTCGATCTGCTCTCATTAACGCAAGAATCAACAAATTGTGCGACCTCACCCATGACGATGCGCATCACGAAACAGAGACGGACCTGGATGCGCCACGGCGCGACGATGGCGGCAAAGTTGGGCGGGTAGGTGGCGTTGGCGAGGCGCTCGACGTAGGCCCACAGCCCACAGAAGACCTCGTAGGAGTACTCCACCTCGCGCGGCACGCCGTCCCGGTCCCACGGGTCGAGCAGCGTCACCCTGCGCGACCGGTCATCGTACCCCACCAGCACCCGGTAGTGCCCTGCACTCACACGACACACGACACCACACACGACACGCGTCAGTACTACATTGACGACTCCCCACGGGGACGCGGCGCACGAGACACACCGTCGAACGGAACGTCGCCAAGCTCCATGAGAATGATGGCGGGAATGTCCTGTGCGATGGCGGCCTTGAGCTCGTCGAGCCAACAGGTCATCCGTCGATGGCCAAAGGCGCCAAGGCCCAGCTGGTCGGGCCACCTCTTGCAGTCCCACCCGCGTGTGGGCGCCTGCTCGGGGAACTGGCGCCCCTGGGCCCCGCTCATGTGGCTGAACTGCCCACCGCGCACCATGTCGCCGCTGAACGTGCCCAGGGCCTCGGAGGTGCGCAGGACGTCCATGATGGCCCTCTGATCCAGCTCCTCCCCCGTCGCGTGCCCCATCGCCATCGCTGCAAGAAATGTGTGGTGACGTCAGCACTCGAATACAAGCGAAACACGAGCCGAGAAGGAAGGGGGGGGGACCAAAGGAAGCAGCCCCGCAGGAGTACTCGGTCAGCTGACGGTGGTAGGGCACACTTTTGATTCGATGCGCCTCGGGGATACCGATCACCGACAGCGGAAGCGACGAGAGGCAGCCCAACAAGAAGACCGCCACAAGCACCACGCTGTGCCGCATCTTGAGATATAAGAGTACAATACACCGTGACCACCGGAACTAAATTAAAATTGATTAAGCGTGTGGCAAATCACAAGCGGACTGGAGCCATAAGGAAAAAAGGAGTTAGCAGAGGATGGTTTCGATCCATCGACCTGTGGGTTATGGGCCCACCACGCTTCCACTGCGCCACTCTGCTTGTAGGAAAAGTGAGGGAGTTGAAAGATAACGGGTGGTAAAATGCGTCAAACAAAAACAAGCGGCTGCGGCGCAGTTGCGGCCCGTCGTCGGTGAGTTATGTTGCGTGGCGTACCTTCTTCGGCAGGTTTAAAGGGCTGATATTTAGAGCGAACAGAAGAAGAGAACATCATGGGTGGTTGTGGCAGCAAGGGCGCGCAAACGCGGTCGCCGGGCTCCTCGGGAATCAAGATGACAAACGAACGCTCTGACGAGTCAGCCTCGTACGTGCCTCTGCCCGCCCACTTCAGTTGCGTGGTGGCTAATGCTCCTCCCGAACTCTTGACAGAGGTGGAAAGGTGAAGATTATTTTGGTTGGTGCCGGAGGTGTGGGCAAGACCTCCATCCTGCTCCAGTTCTCAGTACGCTTCGTTCTTTCTGCTTATCTCTTTCGCTTTTGCCCCCCCCCCAACTCACAACTTCACACTCGTCACGTCTTGCTTCAAGGATGGTCTCTTTTCGGCTGACCGACCACCAACCATTGGCGTTGGTACGTTGTTGGCGTCGCGATCCCGGTGATGCTTATCTCTGATGGTGAACCACTTGTGTCAGACTTCAAATCACAAGACATCAAGGTGGGCACACCGCCATTCGCCAAGACCGTAAAGCTCGAACTGGTACGTCTAGCCTCGGCCTGCAGGGTGCGCAATGCGAACTGGCCATTATTCACATGATTGGTGTAGTGGGTACGTACAGGCACGCCACCTTCACAACATGCAAGGCTCTGTGAGTGCTGAGATGCGCTGTGTGCTGTAGGACACGGCTGGACAAGAACGATTCCGGAGCGTCATCAGTACCTGCGCCGCCCTTGCCTGCATTGCTTTCTCTGTTAAAATGGGCACGCCCACTCTAACGTGTGTTCGTGGTTGGTGTGTGACCAGGTTCCTTCTTTCGCGACGCGGACGGGGTGCTGCTGGTGTTTGACTTGACCGAACCTCAGTCTTTATCGTCTCTAGACTCTTGGCTCGTGGTACGCCGGCTCTTGACCACTCTTGCTCGCTCATACCGAAGATGATCGACATTCATCACATCACGGCGTTCTGTGAGTGGATCTTCCAAGGAGGTGCGCAAACACGCGTCGTCCACTGTCGAGGTGTTGATGGTGGGCAACAAGAGCGACCTTGTGGAGAAGAGGAAGGTGTCAGACGAGGAGGCACAGGTAAGACCATATTTTTGTTGCAAGTGGTGCGTGTCTGGCGCAAAGTTGTCACTCACCTCTGCCCGCCCAACGCAGGCCGCCGCTGAGGAGTTTGGCCTCAAAATGCTGACCTGCTCAGCGCTTGACCGGCCGAGCGTGATCCGATGTCTGGGCACCCTTGCCACCGACATTCTCGATTCCAAAAGAAAGCGACGGACCTGACCGCACTTGTGCACACCCCCAGGGTGATCCCGGCCCAGTCCAACCCGCACGCGAAACGTGACAGTGCCGAAGAAGCGCATCTTGCTGCGTAGCGTGGCGGTATTTGAGAGAAACACTGGCAGCCCGTTGGCCCAACTTGCTTCTTGCTGTTTCGTGTTTATTACCCATGAAATTTCCACACAAATACTTGCTGCTGTCCACTGGGCAGAGTCCCACTGGGACTACACCCCACTCCTTCTTCCCTTCTTCACTTCGCGTCCACCACCAGCTTCTTTCAGCTCCTTCACCTTCGTCACGAACGACGCAGTCGCCACTTGTCGCAGCAGTTTCGGCATCACTCATCTAAAGATCGATCTCCCCTTTCTTTGTACGCGACGCGCGATTGACCGGCACGAGACAAGTCACCACACACCAATAACACACATGATGGCCACACCTACAGCATCCCCTTCTTCCCTCGCTGCGTCGGACGGTGCCGCGCAGAGGGAATTCCACAAGGCGTCGAAGAAGTCGATCACACAGGCGGTCGAAAATGCGGTTAACAACCTGATCGAGTCGGTCGATTCCCACAAGAGCGAGGATGGCAAGGTCTACAGCGCTCAGGACAAGGTCAACTTCGCCAAGGATCTCAAAGATTTCACCGGCGTCTTCAATGCGTTCCTCAAGCAGCGCGGCCAGGTCATCGATTGGAATCTGATCAAGCCGCCCCCGAAGGGCATGATCGTTCCCTACGCCGAGCTTCCGACTGTCCCCGACGCAGAGAAGGGCAGCTACCTCGACAAGCTCGTCGTGCTCAAGCTCAACGGTGGCCTCGGTACCACCATGGGCTGTGTCGGTCCCAAGTCGGCGATCGAAGTGCACTCCAAGTACACCTTCCTCGATCTCACTGTCCAGCAGATTGAGGTACATCCAAATCTTGCACTCTACATCATCATTTCCCTCATAATCTCTTTGTTAATGATGAGAAAGTAAAATCCACATAATGCTTGTTCTGACCACTTGCTTGTCGCCTTTGCCCGTGCACAGTACCTGAACAAGAAGCACAACGCCAACGTGCCGCTCGTGCTCATGAACTCGTTCAACACGCACAAGATGACGCAGAAGATCTTGCGCAAGTACCAGAACCACAAGCTCCAGATCGAGACCTTCAACCAGAGCCGCTACCCGAGGATCTTCAGGGAAACCCTTCTGCCCCTGCCCGACGACATCAACGGCACCCTCGAGGATTGGTATCCTCCCGGCCACGGCGACGTCTTCCCCGCTCTCATCAACTCTGGCCTCCTCGACAAGTTCCTCGCCGAGGGCAAGGAGTACATCTTCATCTCCAACGTTGACAACTTGGGCGCCACCGTCGACGTCAGTACGTTCCACGCTCTTGCGCGCAACAAACATGGCCAGTCGTTGCTCACGTACGCTCTTGTTCACCTTACGTGCAGACATTTTGAAGCACATGGTGGAGACCAACAACGAGTTCATAATGGAGGTGACCGACAAGACCAGGGCCGACATCAAGGGTGGTACCCTCATCGACTACGAGGGCAAGCCCAAGCTGCTCGAGATCGCCCAGGTGCCGGAGAACAAGGTCGACGAGTTCAAGTCCATCAAGAAGTTCAAGATCTTCAACACCAACAACTTGTGGATCCGCCTCGACGCCATCAAGCGCCTCATCGACAGCAAGGTCCTCGAGGACATGGACATCATCCAGAACCAGAAGTCCGTCAACGGTGCCAGCGTCATCCAGCTCGAGCGCGCCGCCGGTGCTGCGATGCAGTACTTCCAGCAGGCCCAGGGCGTCAACGTGCCGCGCTCGCGCTTCTTGCCCGTCAAGAGCTGCTCCGATCTCTTCGTCGTGCAGTCCAACCTCTACTCCCTCTCCAACGGCTCCCTCGTCATGAACCCCGCCAGGCAGTTCACCACCGTGCCCTTCGTCAAGCTCGGCGAGCACTTCAACAAGGTCGACCAGTACAAGAAGCGCTTCAAGGGCATCCCCGACATGCTGGTACGTCGTGAGCAATTCCACCGTTCTCACTCATGGCCGCCACACCACTCCACCACACGCTCTGAATTCCTTCTTCCTCTTCTACAGGAACTCGATCACTTGACCGTCTCTGGCGACGTGACCTTTGGCGCGGGCGTTGCGCTGGCCGGCACTGTCATCATCGTGGCCAACCACGGCTCGCGGATCGACATTCCCGACGGCGCCGTTCTCGAGAACAAGGTGGTCTCTGGCAACCTCAGGATCCTCGACCACTAAACGCAACGCAAGAGAGAGCTCGAACGTTCGGCCGAACCATCACACCGCCACCACACCGCACACCTCCCACGACACACTAACAGCACCGAGCCGTGTGTTTCATAAAGAGGGTTTTGACTTCGCTCTCATCTTCACCCCCGGTGGCGCACAAAAAATACAGAAAGAAATATAAAAATGAATCAAAAGGAAATGAAACAATAAAATAGAGTGTCTGGCTGTGGCGGGTATCGAACAGGGTCACTGGGCCCAACGTAAACTTTGGAGAAGAGGTTCGAAACGGGGTCAAACGTCTTTCGATTTGGTTTTGAGATTCGCGTTCTATGGCTGACCAACAACTGTCTAACAACTCGCCCAGCACGCCTTCGGCTGCTCTTTCCCTGCCGCCGCCCGTACTTTCGCCCGAGGCGGAAGCATGGCTCTCATCCAACAATCTCAATGAATTCGTGCCATTCCTTCGTGAGGCGGGCTTCATAGACATCGATTCCATCTCCACAATCACCGAAGCGTACAGCTCCTCTCCATTTTTGATTTGCTTCCTTCATAGTAGCCAAGATGACTTTGAATCAGGAGCATCCCACTTCGATCGAGTGCCCTCTCATCCCATTGACACTCATGAAACATATCTATTCTCGGCAGAGATGCTGAGGCGATTGGCATTTCGCAGCTGGGCGCTCGGCGTCGTCTGGTGCGCGCGATCCAGAGGCTGGCCACGACCCTCCCGCCCTCACCGCTCCCGCATCCGCATCTCACCCCACAGCACGCCGGCTCCCCGTACGGCGCCATGCCGCACGGCCTCGTGGGCTCGCCCGTCGACATGGACGACGATGCCCTCTCGCCAAACTCGAAGAAGAAGCGCGGCCCAATGCGGTGCGGCAAGTGCCATCAGTGGAAGAAGACGTGCCACGGCCACTGCACGGTGCGCTGCACGTCGTTTGCCACCTGCCCCACACGCCACCGGAGAGCCCACCCCGAGCTCAAGGAGGAGGAGAAGGAGCAGCGACGGCGGGAGGAGGAGGAACGCAAGCGCAAGCGAGACGACGAGAAGGAGGAGAAGCGAAGGGAGAAGAAGGTGCGCAACGAGGAAGAGGAGGAGGAGGGCGACGTCATCGCCAACGGGGTGGATCTCAACGTCTCGGCCAGCGACGTGGTGCTGATGGAGAACGGGCAGACCCTGGTCGTGCCCCCTCCCGAGGCCACCCACCAACAGCACCAGCTTCACCTCCAACACCCGTACCACCACCAGCATCGCATCAACACCAACACCAACTTCAGGCCGCAGCCCTTGCAACTACAGCACCCGCAGCATCACCCTCAGCAACCTCAGGTCCAGCACCAGCAGCAACCATCACAGCAGCAGCAGCAGCAACCACAACAGGTGCAGCCCGTCCAGCCGCCGCCTCTCGACAGCCAGACCGCCTGATCATCAGCCCCTTGCGGCAAGTGTGTAGCGCACAATGGCCGATATACAATAATAAACACAACACACAACTGCGAACCACTTTCTATGGCAACCAACAATAACATGTTGATTTATTATTCACTTGTTTTTGTGATTATCATTATTATTCGCAAAATCGAATATGAGGAAAGATAACTTATTATTATTCGTACGCGTTGTCTCCGTGCGCGAAGGTGTTTGTTCGAAGTGCTGGGAGTCGTTTGGGTGGCGCGCAGCCCATCGGTGTGTGTGTGTAACAGCAGCCGGGTGCTGATGACAGTGGTGACGTTGTTGATGGAACGAGGGACGTGGTGTTGCGTCTCGTCGTGCGCGTGCGGGCGTCGTGCTGTCAGCACGTCATAAATAAAAAAAAAGTCGATGTGGTTGAGGAGGAGGAAGTCGTAGTAGTAGAAGAAGACGAAGAAGACGAACAGAGGCCGAGGCCGGACGTCGATCGATGTCGAGGGAGTAGAGGAGAGCAGAGAGGAAGAGTCATCATACAAGATCGCAGGTTGGTCGGCTGGTCGAGGCTCGATCTCTCGGTCTCGAGGGAGTCGAACAACGTGCGAAGAGGTGGGAGCAGAGATGAAGTGGTTGTCGAGGTGAAGAAAAAAGAAAGGAGGAAGGAGGAGGAAGGCGATGCGAGGGCGGAAGGTGAGATGTAGCTTTTACACGGGCCTGCCGGTGATGGTGGAGAAGCAGGAGATGGACTGACTCTTCTGCTTCTTCCAGCTCCTCTTCTTGACCAGCGTGTTCCACTTCTGCAGCTCCGTCTTGTATTCGGGATCCTGCATCGTGCGATACTGCGGCGGCGTGCAGTGTTCACTCTGCAAAGCCATGCGCGTTTCCAGATCAGATCAGATCAGATCGCGAACGAGCCTCGTCACCAGGTGAAGGCGACAGTTCATTACCTTGCCCTTCTCGAAAAACTCTTTGTAGCCGCCGCGAAGTAGGTACACGTGAGGGTAGCAGGTCTTGGGGTGCCTGTCGATGTTGGCCTCACGGTCCAACCCCCGCAGGTGCCTGATCCTACAGTGTGTGTTGTGTTGTGTGTGTGTGGTGCGCAGCACAGCAGAGTTGGGGGGGAGGTAAGATTGGTGTACGCAGGGTGTGCACGCTGTAGCTGTTTTCGCACGTACCCTGCAGGGCCTCGCTTGGACGAAAACTCGCAGTGGAAGATGATGATCGTCTTGTCCCGGTCGGGCAGGTCGCGGTCCACCGGGAATCTCTCCTCGATGGATTCGAGCAGAGGCAAGTTGATCGCGCCCTGGAGACCGTGGGCAGGCAAAAGGGTCAGAAGTGAGCCACCAAAAACGCTGAGTGGCCCACGACCAACGGCGAGCAGCGACATATATATATATCGTACCTCGATGTGACCGCCCTCGTACTCGTACGGATACCGGCAATCGACAATGATGACTTCGGTAAAGAAGCTGGAGTACTGCCCGGCCAGGACCTTCATCACCTGCAATTGCGATTGATCGGCCGGCCCGGTTGATGGTTAGGCCAAGAAAAAGGCCTTCGCAATGGGGGGGAGGGAAAGGCTTTTGTTGGTACCGTTTCGGCAGAAATGGCGTCAAGGAGCGAGGAGTCGGACACGATGGGGAGCACCGGCTTCTGATACCATTCCTGTATGAATGAATGGCGGAGGAAACACACGCGGTGTAAGAGGGTGGGCATGCCGCTGCAGCAGCATCGTCGACACAGAAGGAGGAAAGGGGAAGGAAGGGGCGCTACCGTGATGTCCGAGAGGGAAGAGCAGGAGAAGGCCATTCGAGCAGGGGACTTGCTGATGCCCCTCTTCCTCTTCGAAGGTTGCTCGTCTTCGTCCTCGCCCGCCTCTGCGCCTTCGCTCTGGTGGTCGGGAGGGGCGAGCTGCCCCCGGCCTCCCCTGCGGGGTCCCACGGGGAAGGTGCCCGTCTGGTTCAACTCCTTGATTATCGATCAATGCACGTGTGAGTGGCCCGTGAGACCGCCAGAGGATTCGATTGGGCGCATACCATCGACCAGGCGGCGTGCAGGTTGGACAAGCTGACCGATCGGATTCGAAGCGCCTGGAAGGGACTCTGCGGAACCGGGGTTGGCGAGCACACGCTCGTCTTATTGGGGCTGGCGAGCTAAGAGAGCGAAAGAGAACGTATGGTTAGCAGTGAGGAATTTAACGCGATGTACATGTGCAGCGTATCGGCCGGGGGGGGGGGTTCCGTGCCTCCATGGGTCCAAAGCTGGCGTGATCAGCCGACGGCAGGAGAGGCTCCGACTTGGAGAAGGGGGCCATGCTATCGAGAGGTTCGTTGAGGGCAAAGGGCATGATGGGGGGCGTGGATGACGGTCGGGCGGGCGAGGGCTGGCCGGTGAGAGGCAAGAGCGATCGAAAGGCGCGACAGCCGCGCGACTTGGAGCCCTGGCGCGCGGGCGAGTGGAAGGCCGAGGCGTCGCTGCGTCGGCTCACGCGCGGGGACAGATTGAGCGAGCAGTGCAGGGTGCTCTTCGGTGTCAGGCGCTTGTTGAGGGGGAGCGACCCGGATCCGAATCCGGATGTGGTGGCGGTGGCGGTGGCGGAGAACGAGATGGACGGCGCGGACGACACGCGCATGGGCGAAGGTGCTGCCTCGCCCGAAGAGGACGACAAAGAAGATGCTGGAAAACCGGAAGGCGAGTGAGAACGCTGACAGCGAGCATGAAGAAGAAGGTAGGGAGGGAGGGGAGAGCCGGTGAGGTACGAACCAGAGCCCTCGAGCCTGAGTTCCGGAAGCGTGGGGCGGACGGGTACGGACTTGGCGCGTCGCGAGGCGATGGGACTGTTGTGGGCGCGGTCGGTGGCAACTCGAAGGCTGCTGTGGTGCCGTGGAATGCCCACCGTGATCATCGTGCCGGCTGACGAGCCATCACCTGGCAAGCCCAGCCCGCTACCACCGTTCCGGAAGTTGGAGTGGTTCTCCTTGTCGCGTTCGAACGCGGCAGAGGAACTCGTCTGGCCGAGGCACAGCGTCGCATCGTCGCGTGAGAAGGAATTCGATCGAAGCTTGTTACGAATGTGGTCGGGAGGGATCTCGCCGCTTATCTCGCGCAAGGCGTCGTCCCATTGCTGTTGGCCGCTCGGCGAGGGCGCAGATGTGAACGAGGATTGAGGCACTGCGTCGATGGAGATGCGTGGTAGCTGGTCCTCCGAACGCGAGCGACGCCCCAGGCTGCTCTTGGCCGCCCCGAGGTGCTGAGGATGCAGGGTGGCCCTCTTCATCGGCGATGATGGCGCGTAGTAGAGGTGCTCATCCCCGCTGCTCGAGTCTTCGTCGTCGTGCAGTAGGGACACGCAGTAACGCGAGGCCGGGCCGCTGATGGTGACATCGTCATCGAAGGACTCGGGGCACGAGAAGTCTTCGTACTCTTCCATCGAGTACTCGCCCCCATCCGAAGGGCAATCGTCTGCCGCGGATCGGACGCGGCGAGGCGACACGCAAGGACTCACCAAGTGAGTAGCACCCAGGGTCCGGGTAAGTGTGAGAAGCTCTGTTGATGGCGATGCCGCGCGCGTTCGCGGCCGCGTTGGTCGGGCCAACGATCTGCTGCGACCGAGTCCCATCTGTTGTATCTCTGCAGACGCTTCCTCGAACTCCATGTGGCTCATGGTGCCACGATCAATCTCGACTTCTGGCGTTCCCGGGTGCTGGACGATCTTCAATCGATTCAAGCGGACCCAATCGATCAAATGCACACGCGGGGGGCGCAAATGCGGGAAGAAATCGAGACCAAGATGCGGAAAAAGTCCCGATGCACCTCAGATGTCACGCTCTGTGGTAGTTTGTGTCGAAGGGGGCGGATCCACCCTCACCTCGTCTCGTGTGGGGGTCTTGCACAAACGCGCCGTCGAGGTTTTGGTTTGGGGCGACGTGGTATTGCCGAGGTGGAAATTGTGTTGCCCTCGTTTCTATGATGTCTGTTGCAAAGTTTTGGCGCCAAGCCGAAAAGAAACCTTTTTCTTGCCTCATCAGCGCCCACCTTCCTTTTGGCACGGCTCGAGATCCACAACCAAGAAAGGCAAGTCTATGCTAACCTCGCGTGTTAGATTCGATAACGCGTGTAGCTGGTCTTAGGCGCTCAGTTCCTTTCCTGTTGTCGGAGCGCCTCTTCCTGAGTGCACAAGCCCGCGATAAGGTCACTCTGGCGCTGTCTAGCAACGCCTAGGAAGTGCTGCGTTCGCTGGACGCGTTCGGCCTCGACCTTCTCCAGCGCTCCGTGGAGAGAGGCGATACCGCCGCTGCCCTTCTGCAGTTCGTGCAGGTCGAGTTCCTTTTGGCTCTGCCGCTTGGTTCGCTCGTACGCCTCTCGACGCTCCTGTGAGGTCAAGATAGGTCGCGATGGACCCGGGTCTTGAGAGTTAGGAAATCAGGAACAACCCACGCACTTGTTCGCGTACCTTGATGTGCGCGTGGTTCTGTTGGTAGAAGAGTATGGTTCGATACAGATCCCACGCCGAAAACTCCGGCCACAGCACGTCCACAAAGGAGAGGCAACAATGCGCAGACTGTACAGTCACAGCGAACAGCATTGTGGTGCAATATTGGTTACCAGTGGCCTAAACCAAAAAGAAAGGACCGTGCACGTTTACGTACCTGCCACAGAAGAAAATCGCTCAGCCTCTTCTCGCCGGAGGTGCGGATGAGGATGTCCAGCGGCGGACATCCGGACGTGTACATGCACTCCTCCAGCAGATCGCCGTTGATGTCCCTGCGTACAGTCAATCATGTCAGCATCATCAAGCAGGAAAAAACGGGGAGATGGGATTGCGGAAAAGTACTCAACGTTGATGAGGCCCTCCTGGACACCGGCAGAGAGGGTCTGGGCGGCAGTCACCATCTCTGCGCGCGCTATGTAGGAGAAGCACACATTCAACACGGCTCTGCACAGTACACGGCTATCAGACGACCAAAATCAAGCACCAAGAGGATCCAGAGGGACCCAGGTACTTGGAGTTGTTTCGTGTGTTGTGGATTGCCGTCGCCATCGAATGCTGCAGGTAGTCGGGCACTAGAGAAATGTCCCCAAGCACTCGGATCGACACGCCGTGTTTGTGTATGATGTCCCTGAAGGCAGCAGCATCATCAGCGCCAAGCGAAGGTGGCGTGGGCGTGCAGCACAGTGGTTCGATGGCGGTGAGGAGGGACGCACTCTTGGTTGAGAAGCTCCTCGAACTTCTCTGCCGCGAGTCGCATCAGCGCGCTCACTTCCTCTGGACTCCTTTTGAAGTTCTCCATCGAAAACGCGTAGACCGTCACCACTTCCACGCCCAGCTCGAGACACCACTCGAGCGCCTGCTCCCAGTGGTGTCCACCATGGGGTGGGTCTGTATGGTTTGAAGACGCGAAGCAACGAGAATGTGATGTACCTCTTTCAGTTTGTTGAATCCCATTGTATGTCCTACGATCTTCTCCATTGACTTCTTTTGCGCGAATCTTCGGTTTCCGTCCATGATGAAGCCGATGTGCTTCGGCAATGGGCCACAGGCAAGGACGGCGTTGAAAAATTTACGAGTCCACAACTCGTACCAAGGTCGCGGCAGGCTCCCGTCGGCTCGCGTCTTGTCATTCTTGAGTTCATCGTATCGCTCCGTCGTAGTGTCCATCCCAATGGATTGTGGCGGCAGATGAAGATTGGAGCCTTCTTTTGATGTGTTTTGTCTGACACGTCATCTGCTGCGTCAAATTCCGAGCTGGAATGCAAAGTATGCGATTGAAAGTTCGCGGAAGCGAATAAAAGGCCTGGAAAAGAGGACAGGAATGGATGGAAAAAGACAAGAAGGCAAACAAAAAGCCGAACCCTCGTGCATCTTCGCCGTTCTCACTACTCGACGCGAAACCGCGACACGGCGGAGAGAATCTTCGTAGGACAAGTACAAGTACCATCAATCGGAGAGAAGATAGGAGGGTCAAGAGAATCAGAGATCGATAGGAAAGCAAGCGACGAGACGCAGGGCCACAACGAAACAACAATCGAGACGCGTCCGAATCGGGAGAGAATGGAGCAAGTAGAGGCAGGTACCCACGCTCAGGGCACCACAGGAGGCTCGAGAGGTCAACGTAGAGGCGGAGGTAATCGAGTGCGCTACACCGAGAAGGTGTTCGTTCCCAAGCAGAGGAACCCGAACCAGCAGCCCACTTCCGCCGTCGACCCCTTCGCATCCAATGCGCCGTTCGACAATCCTCTCGACTTCCTGCCACTTCCTCCACCCCACGTGATCGATCCTTCCATTCAGGCCGAGCTCCAAGCCACAGGCAGCACGCAGCAGGCATCGAGGCGGAATGAGAACGGCAGAGGTATTCGAGGACCGCGGCGCGGTGGGCAAGAGCGAAGCGCTGCGGAGGGAGCACCGCCGCGTGGCCGAAGAGATGGCCAGCGAACCAATCAGCGCAGCCGCGGGCGAAGAGATTCTCCCCCTCAGGAAGTGGTAATCGATAGCCACCTCCCTCCGCACGAGCCCGAGGCTGGCGGTAGTGAGGCGGTTGCAGCTGCACCGGCGAGAGGGAATGCAAGAGGAGGCGAGAGGCGAGACGAGGCGCGAAGGAACGGCAACGAACGGCAGGACGCTCGAGACCGTAACCAGCGAGGAGAGCGACGCAACGAACGAGGCCAGCAGCAGCGAGGAGGGAGGAGCCAGCAGAAGGAGCACCGGCATCACCATGACAACTACGCCCATGCCCACGCTCGGGTCGCGACCACGGCGGCTCATGGCGAGATGACTGACCTGGCAGAGGAGCTGCTCGCAGGTCTGCTCAACGATTCCTACGAGTGCATGATCTGCATGAACAACGTCCGTCGACGCCAATCGATCTGGCACTGCGAAGAGTGCTACGCGCTGTTCCACCTGGACTGCATCTCCAAGTGGAGCAAGAACTCGCTCGAGGAGGCTCGGCAGGTTCCTCAAGGCATCCTCCCACAGAAGCCGCCGGCTGACGGGTGGCGTTGCCCGCACTGCAACAAGACCCATCGACAGCACGAGGGTCCACCCGTATCGCGGTGCTTCTGCGGCAAGTACGCCAACCCCGAGTTCAACCCCTACATCACTCCCCACAGCTGCGGCGACCTCTGCGGCCGCATGCGTGCCGGCACCGACTGTCCACATCCGTGCAACTTGTACGTACCTTCTTGCTTTGCTTGTGGCTGCCGTGTCTCTCTACGCCGAGATTGCAACATGCTGATGACGCCTATCCTTTATGGTAGGCCATGCCACCCCGGCCCGTGCCCACCGTGTTCAGCGACGGGTCCGGTGAAGTACTGCTGGTGCGGAAACGAGGAGTATCGCACCCGGTGCGGCGAAACCGATCCCGGCCGAAGCTGCGGCGAGCTGTGCGACCGGCCGCTAAACTGCCGGAAGCACAGGTGCGAGGAGCCCTGCCATCCTGGGCCGTGCCAGAAGTGCACCAAGCAACTTCCGATGAAATGCTACTGCGGCAAGACCGAGGAGGAGCGTACGTGCGGCACCGAGGTCGAGGACAAGGCGAGCGGCGAGACGCGACACTTCACGTGCGGCTCCATCTGCGGCCAGAAGCTAGCCTGCGGCAACCACACCTGCCAGCGCGTCTGCCATACCGGTCCTTGCGACGAGTGCGCGCTGCTGCCCAAGCGCGTCAAGAAGTGCGCGTGCGGCAAGACCGACATCTTGTTCCTCGTCGCCCCGCGTACCAGCTGCCTCGACCCGATCCCCACGTGCACGAAGAAGTGCGAGAAGAAGCTCCATTGCGGCGTTCACTCGTGCACCAAGAACTGCCACGTTGGCGACTGTCCGCCCTGCAAGGGGACCGTCGACATGCCATGTCGCTGCAAGCTCAACACCAAGCGGATCCCCTGCCTGCAAGCCTTCCCGCTCAACGCCACGGACTCTACCGACAAGGCGCCGGTGCTCTGCGACGTGGCCTGCTCCGTCACTCGCTCCTGCGGCCGACATCGCTGCAACACCAAGTGCTGTACGGCGGCCGGTGACCCCCTCGCCGACGAGCACATATGCAAGATCCCCTGCAACAAGCCGCTTAAGTGCGGGAAGCACCGCTGCGGGGTATGCTTTCCCTCCTTTGACATCTTTCCGTGCACATCGGCATTTCAGTGGCTGACTGACCTCTCCGTTGCGCACACCAACAGCGCTTGTGTCACAAGGGTCGTTGCCCGCCGTGCCTGGAGGCCTCCTTCGACGAACTCGCGTGCCACTGCGGAAAGACCGTCATGGTGCCACCCATTCCGTGCAGCACCCCGCCGCCTGAGTGCAACCACCCGTGCGTCCGACCCTCGCCGTGCGGTCACGCTCTGCCGTACCACGCCTGCCACAGAGACAACGAACCCTGCCCTCCTTGCACGGTACTCATCTCATCTTACCTATTTATCTTGCCCGTTTCACCAATTTAACTTCTCATCACGTTTGCCATTCAGGTTCTCGTTGAGAAGTGGTGCATGGGCAACCACGAACTGCGCAACCACGTGCCGTGCCACGTGAAGGACGTCTCCTGTGGCAGCCCCTGCGGCAAGCCCATGCCCTGCGGACAGCACAAGTGCGCTCGGATCTGCCACAAGGCTCCCTGCGTCGTGCCCAAGGAGGCCGAGACCGCGGCCAGCAGCTCCAAGGACAAAAACAAGAAGGGCAAGAAGAACAAGGAGAAAGAAAAGGAACAGGACGAGCCGGCGTGGGAAGAGACCGAGGAGAAGCAGTCCGAAGCCGAGCCCGAGCTCGTCTCCTGCGGACAGAAGTGCGGTCGGCCTCTCAAGCACTGCGCGCACAACTGCACCGCCCTGTGCCACCCTGGCCAGCCCTGCCCCGTGGTGCAGTGCCGCCAAATGGTCCGCATCACGTGCCCGTGCAAGCGCCGGTCGATGGAGGTGCTCTGCCTACGCGGCGGGCCAGCGGCTGAGCACGACGCCGGCAAGGAGAAAGACGAAGACGACTCGTTCGACGCCTCCAAGCGCGAAGACAAGCGACAGCTCTCGTGCGACGAAATGTGCGAACGCGAGAAGCGCAACCAGCGGATCGACGAGGCATTCAACGTGGCCGGCTCGAAGGAGAAGGAGGCGCCCGTGTTCACCGAGGAGCTGCTCTCCGCTGCTCGGAACAACACCGTCAAGTTTGTGCAGAAGGTGGAGGAGGAGTTCAAGAAGCTCATCCTCGCGCCCAGCGGCATCCGACACTCGTTCCCGCCGATGAAGGTGCTGCAGCGTGCGCTCATCCACGAGCTCGCGCGTTGGTATCGCCTCGACGCCATCTCCTACGATCCGGAGCCGCTGCGGAACGTGGTCGTGATGAAGAAGAACGACTCGCGCATCCCGCCCTTCGCCCTACTCTCGACCCTGATGGCGTCCGGCCGCCTGCCCAAGGTGGCTACCACCGCGCCCGCGCTCGGTTCGGCGTTCGACATGGACATCGGCGACGCGACCGACTGCGTGCTTCAGATCTACAACCTGTCGCCGATCATCACCACCGAGCATCTGGCCACCTTCCTCTCGCGCTTCTCCGGCGAGTACGTCCTCAAGTGGCTCGACGATGCCAACGCTCTCGCCATCTTCTCCAACGTACAGCAGTACCAGGCCGCCCTCTCCTCTCTCCAGACCGACGGCACGTTCAAGATCCGGCCCTACGAGGGTCCCAAGACTTCCTGGCTCAGGTCGAGGACCATGGTAAAGGGAGAAAGCGCTTCTTCCTCCTCCACGTCGTCATCGTCCACCTCGTCGTCGTCTACCACCGCGGCCAAGGACAGCAAGCCAGCGAAGAAGACGACCGACACCACCACCATCGCCGGCGCCAAGCCGTCTCTCCCCCCTGGACTCGCGGCGCCCGCCTCCTTCGCCGCACCCAACGCCTTCTCCGTTCTCCTGTCCTCGCCCGCCGCCTCCGTCGACGGCGTCACCCCCGACGACGTGCCCTCCTCCGACGTCGGTGCTGAAGCGGCTCCCGCCGACTGGGAGGAGTTGGCCGACGACGCACAGACCGACGACGCTCGTCCCGCCGCCGCGACCAAGGCCTCGACGCCCAACGTGTGGAACGCGGTCGTTGCCTCTCATGCCGACGAGCCACAGCCTCGAGGCCCGCACCACGCGGCCGCTGCACCGAGCGCTCAGCAGTGGTCGTGCGCGCACTGCACGTTCCTCAACCCGCCCTCCGCCGGCAAGTGCGAGGTCTGCGAAAACACCCGCTTCTGATGAGCAACTTGCTGTTTCCCTTGTTGGAGCCCTCTTGAAGAACAAGAAGAAGACATCATACCACTTGATCATCAACTTTCAAACGCCTTCCGAATTCTGGGCTGGAAAACAAAAAAACAAATAAAACAATAAAAATAAAGCCGAAACAAAAAAAACACAAAAAAATAGCATCAAAACTGGTGGATTGGGGCGCATCGGGAAGATGAGGAATTTGGTGGTTCTCCAGGAGCTGCGTTCTCGATTGCCTGCACATGGAGGTGATGCGTCGCTCGAAAAGCTTGCCGTGGATCCCTATCTGGGAATCATTTACGTAATCACCAAAGACAAGCACGTCATCGGCCTGGCACCGTTCAGCAATGAGGTAACGCCCATTAGTTGCTGGCCGGAGGAGTAAATGAGCGGAGAGATTGATTCTTTGGGGGCTGCAGGTCACCTTCACCGTGGATGTCAGCGATGTGATCCCGCCCAGTTCGGTGATTGTGGCGGCCCAATTCGTGCCCGACCTTGGCTCCGTTTGCTACGCCACGGCCACCGGCGAGCTGGTCGTCTTCAACGTGGAGACGCAGGAGGCACGCTTCATCTTGCAGATCTGACCGCTCTATCCCCCTCTTCACTTCTTTCAGCTGCTCTTCTTCTCACACCGGAGGTGCATGTGTGCAGGCCGAGTGCGTGGGGTTCATCGACTCGGAGATCCGTGGCATGTCGTGGAGCCCCGATTACGAGCTCATGATCCTCGTCACGGGCAACCGGACGATCCTCTCCATGACTCAGGAGTGGGAGATCGTCACCGAGGTGCCTCTGCAGGACGAACCGCAGGTCGGTGGCTGCACCCAACCCTTGCGCGCTCTGCTGCACTCCTCGCGCGCACCGTCACGTAACGCACCAACTCTTTGCCGCGTACAGGCACAGACAAAGGCCGATGATGAAGGAGCACAGTCAAACCTGCCCTCCTTGTCTTGGCGAGGGGACGGCAACTACTTCGCAGTCAACAGTCTCGATGCCGACGGTACACCGATCATCAAACTCCCAATGTTGCAACGTTGCGGCCGCACTGACTGCTTGCTGCCTACCACGCCGGCGCTCGGCGTATTTCGGGGGGAGTTTAGGTGAGAGGAGACTGCGCGTGTTCGACCGCTCCCTGGTTCTGGACTCGGTGAGTGCCGCAACCTCCAATCTAGAGGAGTACACGTGTTGGAGGTAGGCCACCACTACTAAGTAGAACTCGCGCGCGCGCGCAATGGCTGACTCATATCATCTAGGCCCTCAGGAAGCAGCATCGGATGTTCGCAGCAGAAGCCGAACAAGCACGACATCATCTTCTTTGAAAGGAATGGCCTGCGCCTGGACCGGTACTCTATGTTTTTGTTTCGTTTTGATTCTTTTTTTTTCTACGGCCCTCACCTCTTTGTGTGTGCGTGCGTGTGTGTGTGTGTGTGTGCGTGCGTGTGCGTGGTTCAACGCAGAATGGACTTCACGCTCCGAGACGAGGCCAAGGTAATCGCCATGCAGTGGAACTCCAATTCGGACATCCTCGCGGTCGGGCTGCAGCTCCTGGGGTCAAGCAAAGATCAAAAGGTGCGCAGTTGACCGACAATCATAACACTTGTCCTGACTGAGCACTGACAATACTCATGACTTGTTTTTATATTTATAATCTATAAATATTTCTCTCCGGAGCGCAGAAGGCGACGACGGTCGTGCAGCTCTATTCCTTCTCGAACTACCACTGGTACATGAAGCAGGAGTTCAAGTACCACGACTGGGAGCTCGCCGACCTGCTCTGGGACCCGGAGAACCCCATGAACCTCACCGTCATCTGCCGGTATTGGCTCTCACCCTCTCCCGCTCTTTTTGCCCACGCGCACGCACGACCGCACACGCACAAACTGACGCAATTGTCACCTCCTGGTAGGTCTGGGCATCTCATGCGCTACCATCTATGTTGGGATCCGACGATCAGCGACGGCAACGCCCTCACCAACGAATCTGTCGCCGCCGTTGTAGATGGAGGTACACCTGGCTCTCCGCCTTTTAGCCGGCTTCATCATCATCACCGGTGGTGTTGAGTGTTCCCTCGTCTGACAATGATTGCTCTTGCCTGCAGCGTCGGTGCTGTTGACGCCCTTCAAGAGGGTGGTGCTGCCCCCGCCCATGTACTCGACCAAGCTCGATTGCCCGGCCAACGTGTCATCGGTCTCGTTTGCGCCTCGGTCCTATGACATCGGCGTACTGCTCGCCGACAACACCGTCGCCCTATGGGCTCCCTTTGACACCACATCGCAGGTACGTAGGAGCTGCTCCGTCGTGTGTTGCGTGGTGCGTGCTCACGGGTACTGACTTCACCAACCCTATATGTAGCGACCTCCCTTCAAAACGGCGCCCGGCCTTCGAGCAGTTCTGGCACTCACCCACGAAAATGAAGAGAAGACCGGCATCTCCGCTCTGAGCGGCCTCCGGCAGCTTCACTGGATCGACGCCAACACCCTGCTGGTCGTGGAGAGCGTCACCGGCGGCACGATCGTCGACTACGTGGTGCAGGTCCAGTTCGAGGTCAAAGAGGGTACGCCCACACCCCACTCCCGCGCGGCACAGTGCCCGGCGATACCGCGGCGGCCCCAGCAGCTGACGTCACCTTTTGGGGTGGGACCTACAGGCAAGGCCGAGGTTACCAAGAGCCACCGCACGCCAGTCGACGGACGCCTCGTGCGCCTGTTCCACAACAAGGACACCGAGCGCGTGTTTGTCGAGGTCGACGATGGCAGCGTGCTCGAGTACATCGCTGGTACCGGTCTCACCCCACAACCAACCAACACCAGCCATGGCCAGCGTCGCTCAGGTGTGTCGTGTGTCGTGTGTCGTGTGTCGTGTGTCGTGTGTCGTGTGTCGTGTGTCGTGTGTCGTGTGTGTGTTGGCGTTCGGTCGCACCACACAGACGCGGAGATGCCCATCCTTGAAGACCAGGTGTTCCAATTCAAGGGTCCCGGCGGACAGACCACCGTGTGTCCGTGGGTGGCCACGGCCGTGATCGCTGGGGAGGTAAGCACGCTCCTCCCCCAATTTCCCAATCCTCTATTCTGCGCGTTTGGTGTGCGCCTCCGCCGTAAGCTGACTGGCTGGCCTGCACGCATAGGAATCGTTCATCGGGCTGAACGACAGGTCGAAGCTGTTCCTCAACGAGCACCTGCTGTCGTCCGAGTGCAATTCGTTCGCCCTGCACTCCAAGTTTCTCTGCTTCGCCACGCTCGGGCACAAGATGCGCTTCGTCTCCCTTTCCGCGCCCTACCGAGGTGCGCGGCGTGTCACGCTTGGCGTTGGAGGACAGCCAACACTGGAGTGCTAACCCTTCCCCCTTCCCGGTGCCCACGCGATGCAGAGGGATCGTTGGACATCAGCGCGACACAGGCCTACGACGACACGGTCAGGGAGCTGGAGCGCGGTTCCGTGATCGTGTGCGTGTGCCCAAACGACATCAAGGTCGTGCTGCAGGTAGGCGTGTGCACCATCGTCTCACGACCACATCATCGCTTCACGTGTGACTTACATCTCTTCTCCCACTTCTTCTTCTTCTTCTACACTTCTTCTTCTTCTTCTACAAACTGAGATGCCCCGCGGCAACCTGGAGGGCATCTTCCCGCGCATGCTCTCGCTGTCGGTGGTGAAGGACCTGCTCGACCGACACGAGTACCGCACCGTGTTCACGTTGATGCGCAACCACCGAATCGATCTCAACCTCTTCTACGACCACAACCCGCAGGACTTCCTCTCGGTAGCCCCCCCACCGCCCATTCTTTATTATTTCTTTATTTCTTTATTTCTTATTATTTGTGTATTAATTTACATTTACATTTACATTTAATCTGTGTATTTAATTTGCGGGTGGTGGATGCAGCGCGTGGAGGACTTCATCAAGCAGGTCGACCGCGTGGATTTCCTGAACCTGTTCCTCTCCTCCCTGAGCGACGAAGACGTCACGACCACGCTCTTCGCCACCATGTACACAACGGACAAGACGGAGGACAACCCCACTACGGGTGTGGCCACGCCCGCACCTGCCAAGGGCACCAAAGGTGCGCAGTCCGATTGTGGTGTGTCGTGTGTGTCGTGTGTGTCGTGTCGTGTCGTGTGTTTGAACTTGTTGGAATCTTAATTGGTGCGTGCGTGTAGTGCGGTCGAGCACGAAGGTGAACACGATATGCGATGCCATGCGCGAGGCGTTGAAGAGGGTGGACGCCAAGAAGTATCTCCTCTCCATCCTCACCTCCTACGTCAAGAAGGTCCCGCCAGCCCTCGAAGAGGCCCTCCTCATGATCCGCGACCTACGCAGTACGCGCTCCTCTCTTCTTCGTTCTTTGCTCTTCGTTCTTCGTTCTTCTTCTGGGCCTCACACGCAACTCACTCCCGCATGGCCCAACGACAGACCAGCAGCCGGCTGAGATCATGGACCCGTTCGCGGAGGAGGACGGCGAGAAGGGCCACAAGGAGAAGAACCCCGCCGAGGAGGCCATGAAGTACATCGTGTACGTTCTTCCCTCGCGTTGCTGCTTTCACGCTTCGCTATCTCACACGTCCCCCTGTGTTGCGTCGTGTGTGCGTGTGTGCGTGTGTGTGTGTGTGTGTGTGTGTGTATGCGCGCGTGGTGTCGTGTGGACGCTACAGATTTCTGGTGGACGTGAACGACCTGTACAACGTGGCGCTGGGCATGTACGACTTCGACCTGGTCATGATGGTAGCCCAGCACTCGCAGAAGGACCCCAAGGAGTACCTGCCCTTCCTGCAGCAGCTGCAGGGCATGCCCAAGTACGTCCAGCGGTACACCATCGACGACTTCCTCGGCCGACACGAGAAGGCCCTCGAAAACCTCAGGTGCGTCTCACCCACCACTTTCCCATTCCGGCGAGTGCCTACAACACACACACGACACACACGACACACACGACACACACAACACTCGCAGCCAAGCGGACGAGAGCTACTTCCCGCAGTGCATTGAGCTGATGAAGAAGCACAAGCTGTACCGCCTCGCGATGGACCTCTTCAAGAACGACCAGGAGAAGCACAAGCAGGTCCTCTGCCACTACGCCAAGTACCTCGTCTTCCGTGAGCGACACCACGAAGCCGGCCTGAGTATGTTCACACCTGCCCCGTGTGTATGCTGGCGACTTTGGCTAACGTGCGTGTGCGTGTGCGTGTGCGTGTGTGCGTGTGTGCGTGTGTGCGTGTGTGCGTGTGTCGTGTGTGTGTGTGTGTGTTGGTGACTTGGCCGCAGTCTTCAAGCAGATCGGCGACCTGGACAACGCGGTGGAGGCGTTCAAGAACGCGGTGAGTTGGCAGCTCATGCTCGCCACCTGCCAGGAGCTGGACTACTCCGACTATGACCTGCAGACCGCGGCCCAGGAGATGGCCGACCTGCTCGCCAACCTCTCGCGCTACCGCGAGGTATCCATCCCCCTCCCCTTCCCCCCCTCTTTCGCTCGCCCATTCGTTCGTATGTGAAGAATGAAATAAGTAATGAATGCCTGGTGCGCGCGTGTGCGGGCAGGCGGCTCTCGTCTACGAGAGGTACGCCGACGATCCGGAAACGGCCATCGTGACGCTGATCGACGGAGGCTGCTTCACCGAAGCGTTGAGGTGCCGTGCCCGCTCGTTTGCTTTGTGTTCGCTGGACCACACCCTCACCACCCAACCACCCACACCACCCATCCAACCGCCAGGCTGTGTTACCTCCACAAGCGGAAGGACCTGATCGAGACGCACCTGCAGCCGGCCAGCCTCGAGCAGTGCGAGAAGTGGAAGAACAAGATCGAGAAGAAGCACAAGCGGTTCCTGCGACACAAGGAGCGCCTGCCCATCGCCCGCGGCATCATGCGCGCCAAGATGCAGGATGCCGAGACCTACGGCGGTACCACCACCCTCCACTCACCAGCCACCAGCCACCACCTTCGCGTTTGCTGATATGAGAGGCCCCATTACGTAGGACCGGACGAGGCGGACGAAGTGGCGAGCATGGTGTCGGAGGTGTCGATCTCGAGCAGCGTGTCGTCCCACATGTCGACCGCAACGGGCACGTCGACGTCGTCGCGCAGCGCCTACGATTCGGTGATCAGCGAGGGCGGCACGCGCAGGCGGGTGCGGCGGCCCGGCACGAAGCGGGTCACGGGCAAGGAGGGCTCGCCGCGCGAGGAGGAGTGGCTCGTCACTACCATGCGCGGCCTCGTCCCCTCCGACAAACTCCTCTGTACGCCACACACACGCACACACGCACCACACACGCACACACACACGCACGCACACACGCCACCACGCACGCACACACACGTGCATTGACGCCAATGCTTGTTCGTGTCATTTTCGTTCTTTGGCTACCGCCAACCAGCCGATATGAAGGAGCTGTTGGATACGCTGGTGCTGTTCGGCCACATGGCCGAGGCGAAGGACCTGCACGCCACGCTCGCCGCGCTGGTCGCGCTGATCAACTCCAGCGCCGACATGCTGGACGACTCCGAGTGCCTCTACGTCCAGAGGCGAAAGGCCCGGGCGGCCCGCAAGGTTTGCTTTCCTCTCTAACCGCTTGATGGAATCATGTAAGAGCGCTCACGTGTGCTTGTGTGCGTGTGTGCGTGTGTGCGTGCGTGCGTGTGCGTGTGTGCGTCGGTGTGGTTGTGGCTGCATGCAGGCTGCTGGGCTCCCCTTGGGCGAGGAAGACGAGGAGGAAGTACACACGAAGGAGGAGCCCAAGAAGCTCATCAAGAACCTCGAGTGGGACCTCTCGCTCCTCACCGAGTGAGAGACGCTCCACCCATCCACCATCATCATCATCATGCTCCTCCCTTATTCACTCATCGCGGTGGTGGCAATGACCTTGTTGCCTTGGCATGCACTGGTGTGCCGACATGATCGATCATCAACTTCGCTCTGCGTCCTCTTCCTTTTCTTCTCGTCGCGGTGGCACATCGGCCGGGTCTGGGAGCTCGTCGTGGCCTGAACAAATAAACAATAAAATGAATATTGTGTGATTAAAAACATAAATTATAATAACAATAAAATAAATGGAGGGCTGTGATACCTGGTGGGGGCTGGAAGGCGCGGTTGGCTTCGGCGTCCCAGTCGGTGTTGAACATCTTGGTGAGATGGGCGGCCTGAATCTCGACCGAATCGAGATTGGTTTCCCCCACGATGAGGTAGAGGTCGATCTCCTTCTCGTCGGTGAGATCCTTGTACTTCCTAAAGTCCCGCTGTGTCTTGGCCTTCACCCAGCCCACACGATTGGTGGTGGGCATCTTCTCTGCTGCCTGAAGCACACTGTTAAATTGGCGCTACTCTTTTGCATCGCGACGTTGCAAACTGTATGCACGTGCCCTGAACAGCTTCTTGTACAGGCGCAGGACCTCGCCTCGTCGAGGATTGACAAACGATCCCGTTGCGCTCATCGCGGCCAGCCAACAAAACAGAGATTAGAAGAATTTTGTATTTATTGTTTATTTGTTTATTTATTTGTGGCTTTGTTTGTTCGTCGTCGGTGTGGTCCTTGTTGAACCAGTTCTTGGAGATGGTGGCCGAGAAGGTGCGGGAGAGGCGGTTGAACTTTGAGTTCCGGCTGCGCAGCGTCTGATGGCCGCGCAGCGTCGTCTCGTCGGCGCTCCTGTGCATCGGGCCCGGCGCCGTCAAGTCCTGCAGTCCGGGCGCCGAGCCGCGAATGCTCCTCCGTCGCGCGCTTCGGAGCGTGCCCGATGAAGACGACGACAGTGGCTACGGCGGCGAGTCGAGAGAAGTGGAGGAAAGGAGGAGAAGGAGGAGAGCGCTGGGTCGCTCATCACGCCCACCACCGACGCACGCCCGCCGATGCGCGCCGATGGGGCGCCCGTGTCGTCATCGCCCAGCAGCTGACCCTCTGTCACGACCTGCAGCGGGAACGAGACCCACAGCTTGCCTGGCAGCGACGCCTTGATCTTCAGCCCCACCCACAGGTCGTGCCTGCGCATGACCAGACGGTGTTAGTTAGCTATTCGTCACCAAATAAAAGCACATAAAACGTACGTGCGCCATTGGTTGGATGGTCGAGTGTTGGGCGGGGCGAGGTAGGTCAGGTGCCCTGTGTATGCGCTCTCGCCCACCATGGGGAACACTCCGCCCTGCATGTACTCCTCCACCACCCCTTTCCTCTGTGTATATATAGAGAGGTAGGGAAAAAAAGCAAAGCATCAGTACTTGCGCCAGCCAAACCCCCGCTCGTTCGGTGGCTACAGGCGCACCTTGACCACATTGCCGCCTTCCGTTTCACGCTCTGCGGCCAGACCACAAATATTTTTGTATTACAGCGATGGTTAGTGCAATGAATCACAAGGTTGCGGCCACGACGTTGGCGTACCGGCCAAATAGACTTTGACGACAGAGACAGTCTTGGGGGTGCCGTTCTTCACCTTCACTGGTTTGGTGGGTTGGTGGTGTGTGAGACAAAATGTAGGAAGTTGGTGGCGGGAGAGAAGGTGGCACACACCTCTAATGCGCACTGCCTGACCCACCAGGCACGAACAGCCACTCTCCAGCTTTGCCTTGAGCACCAGCGCCTTCTTCCCCGCCCTCCGCTCCGCGCGGCGCACCAGCAAGCCATCGTCGTCGGCTTCTTCAACTTTCGCGTCGTCCGCGCTTTGGCGCCGGGGCAAGCCCTCCTCTCCTCCGTGCTGCTGCTCGAGGCAGCTGGGGGCGTAGAGCTCCTTGGCCTCCTGCACCCGCCGGTCCGTGAGACGCAGGGCGCGGGGCAGCACCACCGACACCCGGTGGGACGACATGAAGTCGCCCCCGCCTCGCTTCGTCTTCGCCACCGCCGTCATCTGCTAAGAGAGAAGAATTTCCTTCGTCCTCGCTCTGTGTTCAGGTCAAAGAACGAAGCCGCACACCTGTTGGTGCTCGCGCAAGGCGAACGGCGGTTGGTTGCACCCAAGATTGGGCCCAGAACGAGAGCCAACGGCGGTGCTCAATTCAAATTAATAAGCTTCTATGAATAGAGATATCTGCGACGGAACTCTCCCTGCCCCTTTCGAACAAGCGCCACAGAGACGGTGATGCAACGCGGCTTAGGCCACCTGGTGGGAGGCCTGGTCGGCGATGAGGGAGGCCACGCACGACGTGACGCCTGCCGATGGGGTGTTACAAAGAGGGGACGAGGAGTAAAACGGTGGTGAGCAGGGCGTGTGCGGTGGGTGGTGGGGGGATGAATTGGAACAAAGACGCACCCTTGCCCATCTCGATGTGCAGGAACTCGTTGGGTCCGTGCGCTGTGTGATCCGGTAGATGATGTGGGTCCCGATGTTAGTTTACGCGCTTCGTGAACGAGAGGGGGGAGGGGTGTACCGTTCGACTTGGGGCCAAGCACGCCAGTAATCATGAACTGCGCCTTGGGGAAGAGCTCACCCAGCATGCCCATGAACGGGATGGAACCGCCCTCGCCCATGTCTGTCATGACAAAGTGGCAGTGGCGTGGCAGTGTGAGAAGCCAACAAAGGAACGTATGGGCTGGCGAGGTCTGGGTGCGTACAGCAGACCTCCTTGCCGAAATAGGCCTTGGAGGCCTTGTCCACCGACTCGGCCAGCCAATCGACCAGCTTAGGCGACTCCCAGCCTGGAAACACGAACACACGCCCGTGTGTAAGAGAACAACGAACGCGTTGGCCTCACGTGGGGCGGATGCTAGGGTACCAGTGCCGGCCTTTTCGACCTCGAAGCTCACCGAGGCGCCGTAGGGAGGGTTCTGCGTGGTGATGGTGACAACCACTGGGTCAACCACTTGAAACTTGTGGAAAGAGGGGGGAAGACAGCAAATAACGGGTGGTGGCCTCGAACCTCCTCGAAGAACTCCTTGAGCTGCTGACCGGCCTTGTCGGCGTTGATCGTCGGCGGCAGGCGCAGCGACACCTTCAGCGTGGTGTACGGGCGAAGCACGTTACCTGCCGTGACACATACCAACGGTCGGTAGTGAGCAAGCGTATGTTCTTATGCCCAGACACAAGAACGCAGCAAAATGCCACAAGGGAGCCGCACCCGAGCTCTCGAGGCTGGGCAGTCCCTCGGCTCCGGTGATCGAGAGGGCAGGGCGCCAGGTCCTGGAAGTGGAAGGGGAAACAACGTTGAGGTACGACCGCCGATTCACACACCGAGCGCGAGCCCTGCTAGTAACAAGCAACGTACTTGTTCAAGAACAGCTCGGTGAGATCATCAGCCACGGGCTTGGCACCGGCCTTCCAGGGGAACTAGAGAAATGGAATGACGCCAATGTAAGATGTTTGCGGGACCGGGAACACTAGAGAGTGCGTGCAAACGCTTTCGGCCAAGCTCAATGGAGCTCTGTACGTACCTCCTTGTAGATGAGGTCACCGAGGACCTCGGCCGCCCGCTTGGTCTGCTCAATGCGGAAGGCGGGGATCTCGGCGGAGAGGAAGGGCGGGAGGATCTGGCCCGTCTTGACGTCCTCCAGCCTGTCCAGGACCTGGCGCAGGACGCGGAACGACGAAGCCACGACGCCGCTGCACGGGTGCGGGCGGATGGATGGATGGAAGGCCACATGACGTCAGCCCACATCATCAACACTCGGCCCGTGGTGTGAAAAGCAAAAGCGACGCTTTTGAGAAAGGCTTACCTGGCGGAGCCCGAGTGCACTCCCTCGGTGAGGATCTCGGCCTTGAGGTTGCCCATGACGGCACCCCTCAGCGAGGTGGTGAGCCACAGCTGCTCGTAGTTGCCGCAGCCAGAGTCGAGGCAGATGATCAGGGAGGGGCTCTTGATGCGGGGCAGGAGGAGCTGAATGTAGTAGGGCAGATCGCGCGAGCCCGACTCCTCGCAGGCCTCGATCACCACCACGCACCGCGAGTGGGGCACTCCTGCTCAGCAGCCAAGCGAAGAAGAAGACGAACGCATTAGTATCCCTCATCCCATTACCCATTCACTCCCCCTCCCTTCGTGGTGAGAGTTACCCTGCTTCTTGAGGGCCTGGATGGCGGTAATGGCAGCGAAAATGGCCTGATTCACACAATCGAGACGGAACGACCAGCAACTAGTGAGTAAGCAGTGCCACATCGAACACGTTTTAGAGGAAGGTGGTCCGCATGTACATATCCGTCGTCAGCTCCACCTCGGCCATAGAGCTGTGGGCGCGAACACGAGAGTTGAGGGGAGTGGTGTAAGCAGTCCCAAACGTTACTAATCATAACTGGTGCGAAAAAAGGCAGCACGCAGTACCTTGCCATCGCGGATGACGGGGGTGTGGGGGCCAAGGCCCTCCTCCCAGCCGTGCATGGGCGGCTGCTTGTCCAAGTGGCCATAAAGCAAAACGGTGTCCCTGCAGCGCACAGACACGTTGATTAACGGCGCTATTATTAATGTTATTAATAGGAATAGAGACAGAAGGGCAGGCGCGGTACTCCTTGTTGTCGGTGGTGGCCTCAATTTCGATGAAGATGAGAGGGGTGCGGCCTTCATGCTTGATCACCTGCACAGCAGAAAATTCAATGCTTAGCATGTGAGTTGCACATGGTCGGAATCGCTGGTACGAACCTCAAGAATCAGACCGGGCACTTGCTGATTGCGAACCCACTGCACCATAAGATCGACGGCCTGGTCGATCAGGCCGTTGGTGGCCCACTGGGGGTCGTAGAGAGGCGACTGGTTGGGGATCCTGATGTAGTCCTGCAAGGCCGGCACGATCGAATCGTCCCACTGCTGGGCCACGAACTTGCGTCCATCATCGAAGCTGAAGCTGCTTGCCATCTTTCTACTATTCTAATAACGGGATCTTGCGAGATGAGCGCAAAACACAAGCGGGGCAAAAAACGCAGCATTATGGACGCTGACGTCAGCTTCCTTATTAACCACTATTCGAGGAATGGCTGTGCGCTAGACGCCGTGTCTGCGATTTTTTTCGATTCGATTATCGCAAACGAAGATGACGCTCGGAGGACTCGATCTTGAAGTAATGAGCGCTAAGGCCGCGCGCCTATACGACAAGGCCGTGGTGGTTGCCCGAGTCGGCTTCCACTGGGGCTTCATCCCGTTCATCATCTTCCTCGGCGTCCGATCCATGAGGCGAGAGCAGAGCTGGCTGTCCCTCCTCGTTCCCACCCCCTACCTTCAAGCTTAATCATCGACCTACCACCTCCGATCTTCTTCCGGCAAGCGACCGCAGAACCAAACCACGCCATCTCCTTCCCCCGCCCCGCACTGATTTCCATCAGCCCTGCCACATAAATCACTGTCCAGGCTCTGCCCCAGAGGCATCTTCGACAAATTCACCTTCTTTTCTCGTTGAGATGCAGACATAGACAGCAAGTAGGAATCGTGGTGTGCAGCTTTACTCTTTTGACTGACTAAGCAGTGGTGTTAGTGTGTTGGGTTTACACGAGGAAGAGCATCTCGGAGTACTTGGGCAGCGGCCAGAGGGCGTCGTCGATCATCTCCTCGAGCGCATCGCACACGGCTCGCACGTCCCTCATGCCGCTGCTGATGGCCGGGTGGTAGACGTGCAGCATGCGCTGCGGATCCTCTTCATCCTCGTTCTTCTCCTTGTCGAGCACGCTCTTGAGGGCCTGGGTGGTGCGCATGAGATCGGCGATGAGGCCGGTCACCTTGGCCACGAGCTGCTTCTGGGGCGCGAGCAGGCCGGCGGCCTCCTTGTCGAGCACCTGGGCCGCGACGATGATGGAGTCGGCGACGTTCTTCTGGTACTGGAGGGCGGCGGGCAGGACGTAGTTCTCGGCGAGCTGGACCATGGACTGGCCCTCGATGACGAGGCTCTTCAGGAAGAACTCGTTGGTGATGTTGCTTCGCGCGTGCTGCTCAGTCTCCGAGAGAACACCCAGCCGGGCGAACATGTCGATGTTCTTCTTGGCCGTGTAGACGGCGAGGGCCTCGGGCGCCGTGCTCAGGTTGGGCAGGCCGCGCTCCTTGGCGATCTCGGTCCACTCCTCGCTGTAGTTGTTGCCGTTGAAGACGACGTCGTAGTGCTCCTTGAGGGTGTCGCAGATGACGGCGTTGATGATGTCCTCGCGCTCGTCCTCCTCCGCGGTCGAGATGTTGACCGCGCGGTCCGTCGTGAAGCCGGCCTCCTTCAGTCGCTTCTCGATCAGGTCGGCGAGGTAGATCAAGCTGTCGGCGATGATCGTGTTGATGGTCGTCACCGGGGTGGCGCAAGTCTGCGACGATCCCACAGCCCTGAACTCGAACTTGTTGCCTGCACGCAGCCACAGAAGCACACTCCAGATGAGAAAGGTAAAGCCGAGAAAGAATCATAAAACCAAGCGGTGGGCGTACCCGTGAAGGCGAAGGGCGAGGTCCTGTTCCTGTCGGTGGTGTCGCGGGGAATCTTGGCGATGGAATGGAGCTCCATGATCGTGCTCACCTTCCTCTTCATGCCCTGGGGCGTACCCACCTCCGGCTTGCCCTGAATAATCGCCTCACACACCTGGACGCGAAGAACTCGTTAGCAACGGTCGCAAATAGAGCACACACACACACACACACAACACCACAGTGCACGTACGGCGTTAAGATGGCTGCCCAAGAAGACGGAAATGATGGCGGGAGGAGCCTCGTTGGCGCCCAGACGGTAGTCATTGCCGGGGACGGTGACGACGGCGCGAAGCAAGTCGCCGTGCAGGTGGACGGCGCGCAGAACGGCCGTGAGGAAGGTGAGGAAGGTCAGGTTTTGCTCGGGCGTGACGCCCGGGTTGAGCAGGTTCTTGCCGGTGTTGGTCGACATGGACCAGTTGTTGTGCTTGCCCGATCCGTTGATGTAGGAGAACGGCTTCTCGTGGAGCAGACACACGAGGCCGTGCTTCTTGGCGACGTCCCTCATAATTTCCTGTCGACAAGCAGATCACTGGTCAGTCACACAACAAGGCGCGAGTTGACGCACAATATATGGATGGGGGCTCCGCTCACCATGGTAAGCATGTTGTGGTCGCACGCGAGGGTCGACTTCTCGAAGATGGGGGCCATCTCATACTGCGAAGGGGCCACTTCGTTGTGCCTGGTCATCGAGGGCACGCCCAGCTCCCACAGCTCCTGGTCGACCTCCTCAAGACAGGCCTGCACCCTGCGCGGCATCTTGCCGAAGTAGTGCTCCTCCAGCTCCTGGCCCTTGGGCGGCCTCGCACCTGCACGTTGCAACCAGCATCAGAAAACCGTCGCCACCCTCACACGCCGATCTGGGTCAGGCGTACCGATCAGGGTACGGCCCGTGGCGATAAGATCGGGACGGAGAAGGTAGAATCCCCTGTCGATCAGGAAGAACTCCTGCTCGGCTCCGAGGGTCGAGTACACACGCTTCACGTCGGTCTCACCCTGATGACACACAGGCACACAACAGTTAGAAAAGCGTGTGCCAGCGCTAACAACGCAGCTGGCGGATGGCCCAGAGGCCGCGGCGAAAGCGGGCGGGTCGCCGTACGAGAATGTGGAGCAAGCGAACGGCGGCCTTGGAAAGCACTTCCTCGGAGCGGATGAGTGGGGTCTTGCTGTCGAGCGCGTCTCCGGTGTAGGAGGAGAAGGCGGTGGGGATGCAGAGGGTGGTGTACTCCGACTGGCCCTTGCTGATGCCCTTGCGCAGGAAGGCCGGCGTGTTCATGTCCCACGCCGTGTAGCCGCGGGCCTCGAACGTAGAGCGAATGCCACCGCTGGGGAACGACGACGCGTCGGGCTCTCCCTTCACCTGCACTCGCCACCATGTACACCACATTAAAAATATATCATAATAACTGAATAATATGTTGAACCTTTCTATTTGAATATGTAAAGAAAGCAAAAAGGATAAATTAATAAAAAGATACTCGTGGAGTGGGGATCGAACCAAGTTGAAGCCGCCGAACTTGAGATCGATGCCACCGTTCTTGTTGAGGGAGATGAAGGAGTCGTGCTTCTCGGCGGTGTAGCCGTTCATGGGCTGGAACCAGTGCGTGTAGTGGGTGGCGCCCTGCCTGGTGGCCCACTCCTTCATGGCAGCGGCCACCTGCTCGGCCACGTCGGAGTCCATCTCGCGCTCGGCCTCGCGCACAGCGATGAGCTTCTTGTAGGTGTACTCGGGCAGCATCTCGCGCAGCAGCTTATCGCTCAGCACGGCTCTGCCGAACAGCTCCAGCAGCTTGGCCTGCGCCTGCGGTCTACTCGACAGCACTTCGTCCTCATCTCTGGTCTTCTCCCACGATACCTTCACCAGGCGCTTCTTGTTGTTGAATCGCTGCGCTACACTGTGCGAAAACGACATCTTCTTCTCTAGATCTCTGTGCGTGCGGTGTTGTTGCTCTACTCTGTTTTGCTCTTAGAATCGATCGTCGTGTGGCGTACAGTACTGTTGACAGCAGCTTGCACACTTCAAGTGGATAGATGTGAAGAAGAAGAGTAAAATAACGAACTTTGAGTTCTGTGTGTCCGCTCGAGGTCTTGTCTTCGTGCCGGCGCCCAACACTCCGCGGGGTGAGTGGCCCTGCGTGCTTGCGTGTGCGGCTTGGCGCTTCGGACCGAACGGACGGTCTGGGAAAATTCTCAAGCTCAACCCCCAGACGAGGAGTGACTAAGCGCCATCGCCCGAACATGTCCACCCACCTCAACCGGGGGGGTCAGGTTCGACACCGCCGGGGGCTGGGGGAGGAGGAATTGGTTGTCGTTCCCCCTTCGCCTCGAGTCCCGCTCCTCCATCTTTCATCTTTCATCTTTCATCTTGATGCTGCATTGTGTGCGTGTGTAGTGCAGCGAGTTGCAGAATGATAAAGGGAACGTAGGGGGAGTGAGAAAGCAAGAGAGAAGAGGAAGAGGAAGGGTTCCAAGTTCGCGCAACAAGAAACAATTTTTCACATTCCAGAATAAATAAATTAAAAGAATGCCTTTTCTGAAGAGAGGCTTCCACCGAACAGAAGAAGGCGACCGAGGCCCTCTTCACCAGCCCAGGAGCTTGCCCTGTGGAAGGGACGGTGGCACGTCGAAGGGCATCGGCACGGATGGGTCCTTGACGTCACCAGCCTGAATGGGCGCAAAGAAGCGCAGGATCATTGCTCTGCCCACCTGGGTACAGGTGGAATGAGGGCATCGCTTCAGCAGAGTCTCCGCGGTGGAAGGCAGTGTGCTCGGCGTACCTTGTGTGCCAAGAAGAGGTGCACGAACGAAGAGATGCCGGCGATGTACTTCTTCATCTCCGCCGCACGCTTGTCGGCGTTCTTCTCCTTGGGCTTGACGAACTTCTTGGCCGGTGGCAGGGGATAAGGCAGCTGGTTGATGGTCTTCACCTGCAAGTTGCCAGCCGAACGGGCAGCATCAGCGTTAGTGGCTGTGCGCGCCCTACTTCTTTGGCGGCGCCAGAGGTGGAAAGGTGCAGTACGTAGTGGTTCGTCCAGGCGTCGAATGCCTGGAACTGGCCGTACGGCCGCTTGATGATCCACTGGGCATTGCCCCACTTGACCTCGATCGTGCACAAGAAGAACCTGCACGACACCCCCTCATCAGAAACCACACCCGAGCGAGATGGAGATGGGTGAGTGAGTCGCTGGCCAGGGAGCATAGGTACCGATCAACCTCGGAGGTAAAGATGACTTGCGAAAGCAGGACGAAGGAGATGGTGGTGTTGATGCCCTCAAACGAGTTTTGCCGTTCGCTGGCGGCCTCCTTCTCCTTGCTGACTTCTACCGGTGGAAGCGGCTTGGCGGCCTGTTGTGGAAACGGCGATGGCCTGTGTCCGTACCCCGGCGAGGGTGTCGCTGTGACCGCGGAGGGTGACGACTGACTACTCGCCACCGGCGGAGGCAAGGGCTTGTTCGGCATCTTTCTCGCCGGCGCTGCCGCGGCTTGAGCAAGCGTACACGGCTTGCTCTGCGCTGGCGGCACTGCGGGCGGCGCTCTTCGTTGCGTCGACAGGCTGGGCTCTGCGTGCGGATAGGGCGAATGAGGAGTGTATGGGGAGACGGAGCATTGTCTGACTGAGCGTGAGGCATACCAGATTGGGCCAGTGGGCCGTAGGCTCCGTTGCTGTGTGGAGCTGGCGGCAATCGCTTGGGTGCCGTTGTGAGGTCTGCTCCACAACCATCAAAGCGTAAGCGCGGCAGAACGAGGGGCTCGGTGTAACTATGTTCAGGTACCGATTGTTGTTGCGGCCTGTGGCGCGGGCATTGCCGGAGACTCGCGGATTGGCGGCACAGATGCTGGATGCCCATCGAGCGAGTGAGACAAGCAAGGGCAACAGATCGCGCGTGATCACAGGAAAGAGTCGAGAAACACACCGGCGATGGGCCTGGGCGCAATCGTAGGCCTCTCCGCGGCCTTCGGCGCTGCCTGCTCGGCGGGCTTGGGCGGAACAAAAGCTGGAGAAAGATGAGTTAGGAATGTCGCGAACGAAGGGCATTCAATAGACCATTACCTTGCACCAGCTTACCGGGCGCAGCCTGGTAGGTCGCCATCGGTCGACCTACAGCGCAACAAGAGGCGATTAGCCCAAACTCTGTGGGCTGTTTTCGCAGAGTGCCTGTTGGTACCTGTACTTGATGGCTCCGATTGCTGGGTCCCGACACCAGTAGGGGCTGGTCGAGGCCGGTCACCTAGCGGGGTCGCAGCTGGAGCTCCGCGTGCAGGCGGTGAGCTTGCTGTTGGTGCAGGAGCAGGAGCAGGAGCAGGAGTGGCCGGCGCTTCAACGTGTACGGTTGGCGTGGCTGGCGCAAAGTAAACGCGGTGAGCCAAAGGCATGACCACCAATGTTCAGGGGCGCGCATACCAGCCGGTGGCCTCTTCTTTGGAGGGCAAGGCAGCGGCTTGGCCGCGTACTCGGGTGGCACCTCATCAAGCACTACTTCTTTCGGCGGGGCCGATGCGCTCGCATGATCCTGGTCGTCGCGTCAGCACATCAACTCCATGAACGACCATAGAATGAAGCTGTACCTCGGGTTCAGCTGTTGTGGGCGTGCTATCGGCAGATCGCGGAGAAGGAGTAAGGGAGGCGAGCGTGGGAGGTGGTCGAGCAGGAGGTGCAGAGAACGAGGGAGAAGACGCGGAAGATGAGAGGTCGGGTCGCTTTGGCGGGGCGACTGGCCTAGAAAAGGGTTTCCCGGGTGTCGATGTTGCAGCCGCAGTGGCCGATGTTGAAGATGATGAAGTCGCGGCCTGGGGAGGGTTGTGCTGATTGAATGGGAGGGAGCTCGAGCGGCGGTGAGCGGAAGGCGAGTCCGGGGGGCGTGGGCTCAAGGCACCGCTTCCCGATTGCTTCTCACTGCCACCAGAACAAGTCCATTAAAACATGCCAAGTGCGAAGAGCGAAAGAACGAAAGCGAAGGCCAAAAGAACGAAAAGCGAGCTTGGGAAATGATGATGAAGTTACTACCTGGCGCTGGTTGAGAGAACTGGCGGTCCCGTGCGCGGGGACGGTGTGTTAGTTGCCACCTTCAGGTGTTCATGCGTCCCCTTCTCCTCCGCGTGGTGTGGCTGGGGCTGTGGTTGGGGCGGGAGCGCGGGGAGCGCGATGGTTGGCGGGACACTCGAATAGGAATCGCGCGGCGTCAGCTCTGCCGGTTCCAAGTACGTGAACTCGCTGCTGGTGCACGTCGACAGGCCTGGTGCGGACGCCGACGATGGGTAGCTACCATCGTATGCCGTCGTCGTGGTAGTGGTGGGAGTCGTGCCGGCTGAGCGGGGGCGCGGTGGCAGTGCGGGCTGCGGGGGTGCGGGCGACAGGGACGAGGAGGAGGAAGACGGCAAGGGGGGCGATGGCTGAGGCTCGAGCGCCCCCGGCGGGAGCCAGCCCTCAGAGGACTGCGACGGTGGTGGGCAGGCGTCGTAGTAGGACGACGAACTCGAGCCTGGCGGCGGGGGGCGAGGGGGAGAGGCTTGCATCTGCATCTGCGGAGGCGGTGGCTGCTGCTGATAGGGAGGCGGGGCGTAGAGGGCTGCAGGGGGCGGTTGCTGGTGCGGCTGCGGCGAGTAGTGGGGTGGCGGCGAGTAGTGAGGTGGTGGCTGGTGGTGGGAGATGGGAGGACCGAGGGCGTAGGAGGTGTAGGGTGCCGGGTAGGGCGACTGTGAATACTGGACTGCTGCTGGCCGCGGCGGGAGCTGCAGCGGCGACGCGGGGCCGTAGGGGGTGGCGAAGGGAAGAGGGGGAGCACCCACCCCGACCGGCCTGCCTCCACCTCCACCCGAGTAGTTCAACGCCGTCCGGTTGGGCAAGGGCGGTGCGGCCATGCTGCTTGACGTTGGCCTTAACTTGTCCTTCGTGTCTCTGTGTTGCCGCAAGCTCGGCTCAAGGTTGAGGCACCAGGTCACCCACCCACAAGCTGGGAGTGGAAGAACGAAGGACAATTCAAAACAATTTTATAAAATATCGAAATTGTTGTGGAATGTGGCGAGGAATGTGACTGTTCGCACAAGAGGCAGTTTCGCGGTGATTTCGGCAGGACCTGCATGGGGGGAGTTTCCGGGTAGACTGCAGAACCTGTCGGCCAAGCTCAAGCGCGGTGTGGCCCCCCTGAGCTGCGGAATAGCACACGAGTGGGATGGGGGGGGGGAGGATGGAGGGTGACGTCCTCTCTGCTTTCTTCTTTGTTTCACACCTAGATAGACACAGCCAATTCTATTCTCTGGTTTATCTTCCTTTTTCACTTGTTTTCGAAGTTGTACTGTAGTGAGCACCGCAGCAAGGCCTTACCTACACCCACAACCGCCACATACAGAACCCTTGAACCCAAAGACATCCCCAGGTACTCCTCCTCTTCCCCCCTCCTCTGTTCGTTTTGTGTGCGCTGGCAGACCATCTTTCCTCCATTCTCTGCTTCTCTCCTCATCTTTGTATGGACCACGGCCCCATGTGGTCACCTTCGCCTCATCTTCACCGCCCGCACCAGACGAAGACCACGACAAGTCACGCCATGGCGACGTCGGAGGCACACCGAGCACCGTCGACCACCCCCAGTTCTGGAGACTGGGACGATGACAGTGCGTCCTCCTCTTCCGAACTGGTCCTCACTCGGGCCGGAAGCGATACCAACCTCGTCCCCCGATCGTACCCTCTCCCTCTCTCATTCTCTTTCGTTCTTTTCTTCGCTTTCGTTCTTTTAGCTCCGTATGCTGATGGGGTGGAGCGGACCACAGGGCGAAAAGCGAGGAGACGGTGATCAACCTGAAGAGCCTGTCCAACAGCGACCCGCGGCGCAAGGAAATCCTGGCGCTCGCATCCGAGTACAAGAATGCGCAGCGCGCCTACAAGGAGCTGAAGAAGCGAGAGGGCGAGACGAGCAAGGAGGTCGACCGCATACGCGACGAGCTGCGCGAGCGGACCAACAAACTGCAGGCGAAGGAGGAGAAGGAGCGGAGGAGCGGAAAGGAGTACAAGGGACGCAAGAAGAAGGGCCTCGACAAGGCGCGCCAAAGGTCGCGCGAGATGCAGCGCATGTACGAGGACAGCACGCTCATGCTCAGGCGTCTGCATGCCGAAGTCAAGGAGACAGCCGTGCGACTCAACGAAAAGGGCAACATGGTACCTGTCGACACGCCACTGCTGTTCGTCACCCTGCATGATGAGTGCACTCACAGTGTTGTTTTCTTTTCTCTCCACCAGCTCAGGGAATTATGGCAGAACCGGGGAAGACCCAAGGAGCTGCCCCCGGTACCCCCGCGCAAACCTCAGCAGGATGGACCCGCTTCGACCCTGTCCACAGTGCGTGCTTTCATTCCAGGCGCATTCCACACACACAACACACACACAACACACACACTCACACGACCTGAGCTCATTTTGTGATGGTTGTGCAGCCTTCGCCGGTGTATTCGTTCGAGAGCAGCGCGAGCAGCGATCAAGAGCTGGAGAGGGCGAGCCGCGAACACGACGAGGCCTATGAGCGCGCTCGCGAGGAGGCCCGCATCAACCGCATCGAGAAGGCTCGCGCCCGGTTCCGGTCGGCCGTGATCAAGGAAGACGACGCCCATGCCGACACCCTGCACCGCGAAGCCGCCGCCGCCCCCTTTCTCTCGTCCCCGCAGCTCTCCGTTCCCGCCCAGAGCCCCCAGCCCGAGCCTGGACCCGAGACCGGCCGCGGGCGGTCCAGATCGATCCTCGACATGCAGAAGCGGCTGGGCCTGGTCCCGGCCTCGCCGGCCGCCACGCCCGTCGCAGTCCCGCACAGCGGCGGCGCCGGTAGCGGAGACGGCGATGACGAAGAGCGAAGGAAGAAGGAGGAGATTCCTGGCGCGACTTCAGAAGGGCCACGGTGTGTCGTTCATGCCGTTCAGCATGCAGCGCGGGATGGAGGAGCGCGAGCAGCGCGAGAAGCGCGAGACGGCGGTGGTGGCGCACCCGTCGCGTCTTTCCGGCGGCGATGTGGAGAGCGGACCCCGGACGTCGGCGATGCAGACGGCCGAGGGGCGGCTGACCTACCACCAGCGGCCCATGCAGGCGGGCAAGAGGCGGCCGTCGGCCCTGAGCCGCCGGGAGCGCAGCCGAACCAACGAGCGAGCAGGCGACGGACTCGCAGAACCGCAGCAGCACCAGGCGGCGATGGTCCACGAAACGCTGGTCGACGAGGCCCATGAGGAGCAGAAGGAGGAGGCCGTTGAAGAGGAGCCGGCAGTGGTCATAATGAGTGAGGAGCAGGTCGAGCAGGAGGCCGAGAAGATGCGCGCCGACCTCAAAGAGGAGATGCGGCTTAAGAGGGAGCGGCGGCAGAGCCGAGAGCGCGACGCCATCGCCGCTGTGGCCGCGGCCGCCGTTGGCCCTGCATCTCCGAGACGTCACGCCGACGAGGCCGAAGAGAAGGAGAAGGCCAAGGAGGAGGAACGGCCGGCCAAGCCTCAGCGTACGACCGCGGCCGAGCAGAGGGCCGAGAAGAGGGCGCGTGCTCGTGCGGCGCGGGAGACTGATCTGCGCGAGGAGAAGGAGATGGCGCTGCGCGAGCTGCAGACGCTGATCGAGGAGAACGACAAGCTGCTCCGCGAGATGGAGCAGAAGGAGCGCGAGCGCGACAGGGAGAGACGGGCGGACAAGGAGGCGGAGGCCTTCCTTACGCGCAAGCTCGAGGCCGGGCGCCTGGAGGCGGCCGAGCTGAGGGCCACGATCGGGACCCTCCAGAGCGAGCTCCACCACCTGCGCCAGCGGCTCGACGCCGAGAGCGACCAGTCCCGGAGCGTCGACGAGCAGCGCCTGCGCGAGCTTGTTGCGCTCCAGACCGACAAGGCCGCGCTCGAGGCTGAGCTTGCAGATGTGCGCCGCACGCTCGACGCCACCCGAGCCGAGCTCGACGCCATCCGGCAGCGCACCGAGGCCCGCGAACAAGAGCGCGAGCCCCAGATAGAGCGGCTCGAGGCCCAGATCGCCGACCTGCGGGCCGCGCAGGGCGAGGCGGAGATGGCGATGGCCGAGGAGCGCCAGGCCAAGGCCGAGCTCGAGCGGCTCCTGGAGGGCGCGCGCATGGAGGCCGAAGAGAACAAGCGTCACGGGGAGAACGAGGTGCGCGAGCGCGAGGCGCGGCTCGAGCGGCGCGAGCTCGAGTTTGCCGAGGTGACGGCCGGCTCAAGGACAAGATCCGCGAAATGAAGGCCGTGCGCCAGGCCTACCTCGACGAGAAGCAGCAGTTCGAGGCCGAGCGCTCGCGCACCCTTGAGACCGTGGTGAGCGAGCAGGAGGACCTCTACGCCAAGGACAAGGAGATCGATGAGCTGCGCGAACAGCTGCGCCGGGAGCGAGAGGAGCGCGAGCGCGCCGTGAACGAGGAGCCTGGCCGCCGTGGGGCGCGAGCGCGACGAGAAGGAGCGCCAGCTGGGCCTCGTCGGCCTCCAGCTGCAGAAGGCCAAAAAGACCAAGCACGAGCGCAAGCAGGAGCTGGCCCGGCTGACCGACCAGCTGGCCGGGCTTGCTGCCGAGCAAACGCAGTGGATTGAAGCGCGCGCGCAGGTGGAGGAGGAGCTGGACCGGGAGCGCAAGGCGCGCGCCGGGCTCGAGACGCGGGTCAAGCAGCTCGAGGAGGAGAAGGTGGTGAGCGATGAGGTAGTGAAGCGGGCGAGCCAGCGCATGGAGAAGCAGAAGCGCGAGGCCGAGGAGCTGCTCGAGCGCGAACGTGACGAGAAGCGACGACTGAGCGAGGCCCTCGAGTTCGAGCGACAGCGCGCGGCCAAGCTCGAGCGCGAGCGGGAGGAGCGGGAGCAGCTGGAGGCCCAGCGGCAGAGGGAGCGGATCGAGGGCGGCGAGCGGCAGAGCCAGGAGGAGGCGCGGCTGCGCGACGAGCTCGAGGCGGAGCGCCGTGGCCGCGATACGCTGTTGGCCGAGCACGAGAAGGAGCTGGGCCGGTTCAAGGCCCTCGCGCAGGACCTGGACCGGGAGCGCGCCGAGCGCGAGCGGGCGCAGGCCGAGCTCGATCGGGAACGCGAGGAGCGCGAGAAGCTGCAGAGCGAGAAGGCGAGCCTCGTGGCGCTGATCGAGATCGAGCGCCGGCGAGCCACCGACCAGAAGGCCGCCGACGAGGCGCTGCAGCGCGAGCGCGACCACGAGGCCCGCGAGCGGAGTGAGATGGCCGAGCGGGCCAGGCGCGAGCGCGAGGCGCTGCAGAAGGAGCTCAGGGACCGTGACGAGGCCATCACGCTCAAGAAGGAGAAGACGAAGCTGTTGCGCCAGAAGATCCTGGTGCTGATGGAGGAGAACCAGCGCATCAAAGACGGGTCGCGGCGCGATCGGGAGCGCGACAAGGTCGAGCGCGAGCGCAAGCGCGACGAGGAGTCGAAGCGGTCGCGCGAGGAGAAGGAGCGCGAGCGGGAGGAGCGGGAGCGGATCAGGAAGGAGAAGGAGAAGGAGGTGCAGGAGAAGGAGCGCATCCGGAAGGAGAAGCAGATCGAGGTCGAGGAGAAGGAGAAGCTGCGACGCGAGATGGAGCGCGAGCGGGCGGAGAAGGAGAAGCTGCAGCGCCGGAAGGAGCAGGAGCTGGACGAGCTCCGACGGGACCTGCAGGAGAAGGAGATCATCGAGAAGAACATCTACTGTGCCGACGCCAATGCCTACTGCGCTGGTGGTATGTGATAACCCACACACACGCCATTCCATTCATTCCTTCACATTCCCCGCTTGATGGTGTGAGTGCAGACGTGCCGCGAGCGGCGCTGGATCTCCACACGTACCTGGTGCAATACGACGGCACGCCGGCCCAGAAGGCCAGCTTCGTGCGCAAGGTCACCACCGCGATTAGTACCTCGATCCAGGTACACTCCTCCTCTTCGCACTTCGTTCTCCCCCCCCCAAGGAGTGCCTCATCGCATTTCGTTCTTTAGAGGGAAGCAGAAGACGCGGAGATGCAGAGCTTCTGGCTGTCGTACGTTGCCACGCTGTCGCACATGGCCCACGGGCAGGGCGACATCGAATCCAAGCCGGGCCTGCCGGGCCGCGATGTGGCCAAGGACCTGCGCAACACGGTCGTCACCCGCAGCGTCAAGGACCGCGGCATCGTCTCGCGGTTCTGGGTCGAGAGCGAGCGGCGCAACCTGAGCCGCGACGAAGTCAAGCGCGTACTGCTCGAGGCCCTCGAGAAGGAGAAGGCCAACGGCAACGGCAACGAGCTTGCGCCGCTCATGCTGCTCGAGCTCGAGGTGGTGATGCTCGACACCCTGGTCAACCTGCTCGACGCCGCCATGGCCCTGCTCGCGCCCGTGCTGGTGCCGGCCATCATGGAGTACCGCCCGTTCCTGTCGCGCCGGAAGAGCATGGTGCGCCGCGAGCGCGAGAAGGACAAGCGACGGCGGCCCACGCCTCAGCCCGACGGCGGTGACGAGGAGGGACCCAAGGTCTCGCCCGAGCAGGTGACCCACCAGCTCAAGGCCTTCCTCCAGATAGTCCAAAAGAAGAAGTGCGTTTCCAGTGTCGTGTCATGTGTGTCGTGTTGTACGTCTGTGCTGACGCGAGGGACAGGCTGTACGCGAGCGTGGTGCAGGTGATCTTCGAAGACTTGGCCCACGCGATCAACGCTCACCTGTTCAACACGCTGGTCCAGCGCGGAGAGCTGTGCACATCGGCCATCGGCTTCCAGATCAAGTTCGGCCTGTCGCCCCTGCGCGAGTGGCTCTTCGCCGCCAGCCTGGCCGACCCGGCCCGCGTGCGGGACTGTCTGGGGCACATCGAGGAGGCGGCCAACGTGCTGGTGGTGGACAAGCGCCTGTTCACCAGCGAGAAGGACGTCAAGGACATCTTCCAGCTGCTCAACCCCGTCCAGATCCTCCACTTCCTCTCCGCCTTCCGTACTGACGAGTACGTCCGCACCTTTTATCTTGTGTGCGGTGTGTGCGGTTGGGTGTGTGCGTGTGCGTGTGCGGTCACTAACTTTTTTTCGTGGTGGTTTGGTCGGGCAGGGAGTCGGAGATGGTCCCACAGGAGTCGCTGCAGGCGGTGCGGCATACGATCGCTCGAGCGAATGAACGGACGGGCATGCTGCGCCTCAAGCTCGACCCACACACCAGCCCACTCCCGCCGCCTTCTTCGTCCTCTTGAGAACATTGAGCGCAGCCAAAGTCGTTGAAGACCACACACACACACACGCATTGAGCAATCATCATTATACCTTCAAACTCTCTTATTTGTTGGCTTAGAACTGCTTCTTGTAGAAGTTGGCCACGAGCTTGATGGCTTCGTTGGCGCGCTGGGCCTGCAGCTCGTCCGACCAGTCGCCGCGCGCGGCGCAGAATCCGTGGTGGACGTCGTCGAAGCGCTTGTGCTCCGACTTCTCGTGGAGCGCCGGGCTGGCTTCCTTCAGCGCCTCCATGTAGGGCACCTTTTTCGCGTACCGCCGAGTTAGATGGAGCCCCGGCGCCGTATGACACACACACACGCAACACGCAACACACACACACACACACACACGGTACCATGTCGGGTTCGTCCTTGGTCGGGAGGTTGATGATGGGCACCTGCAGGAACTTGGCGTCATCGGGAGTGAAGAAGCTCGGGTGGATGAATGCCGCCGCGGCGTAGGTGGACCCGTCCTGTGCCGCATGCCAGGCCATTTTGGCTGTCGTGTGTTTAGGTGCGCACACAAAGTCAAAGTGTGAGTCTTCACAGTCGTGTATAGTTGGTCGTGTCGTGTGCGGTGGTGCGTGTGCGTGTGCGGTGGTGCGTGTGCGTGTCCTGTGTACCGCCCCAACAGAAGCCAAAGAGAGCGATCTTCTGGGCTCCCTCCTTCTGGGCAAACGCGGTGGTGGCGGCCAGGCTGGGCTGGATCTTTTCCCATGAGCCCTCCGTGCCGATCCACTTCAGCAGCTCACTCCGGCTAATACACGCGGGTTAGTCTGTACACTTGCGGGCCGGGCCACTACTGCTGCCTTAAAACGGGCGCAAGGGGTGAGGGCAGCAGCGGCAGTTGTGGAGGCGTACTCGTGGGTCTCCAGTTTCTCTGCGGTCCAAGGCGCCCCACGGAAGAAGTCCGGCAGCAGGACCCGGGCGTGGGTGGCGCTGGCCACAAGGTCACAAAACTAAAAAGGAATTTTTTTAACAACAAAAAAAAAGAAATAAGAAATAAGACATACGACTGGTGGGGGCACCTGTTTGGTGTTGTTGTGGAAGCCGAAGATGTCGTAGATGCCGACGATGGCCGCCTTTGCGTCAGAAGGTCCGACACTGTAGACCTCTATTCCACCCACCTCCACTACGCTCCCTTGAGGCGCATACTCCGACTTCACCGGAGGAAGCGAGCAGCAGGCGTCGGGCATCGACATGGTGAGTATGGTGTGTTTGTCGTGTCTCTCGACGCCTTTTTTGTGTTTTTTTTTGGTCGACATCTTAACAAGCCGCCACTAGGGCGCAAGGGAGTGTTGCACATTCCCAAGAGCACGGGTAGATCCGCCCAGGCGCAGACAGTTGCCGCCACAGCAGGCCTTTGGGCGGCGCAGCTCTGGATAGAAGAACTCAGTGCAGCTCTCCCTTGAAAATTATTTATTGTTATATTTCCCTGATCAAAACGGAATTTTCTCTATTCTGCATTTCTACTTCTTTTCCTTGCTTTGCTCTGTGAAATTTAGCTCACGGTGGGATAAAAGGCGGCTCTCCATCAAAAGAGCGATTATTGAATAATCACACAATGCCGAAGAAGGGAGCGTCAGCGAGAGCCAGAGCGCGAGCGGCGGAGAACGACGAGGCGACGACGAAGAAGGGCGCTGCCGCGGGCGGACGAAAGAAGAGGCAGACGCTGGGCGAGGAAATCAGCGATGAAGAAGAGGAGGTGAAATTGAAGTCCGGCCGTGGCAAGAAGGCCGCCCCTCCGAGGAAGGGAAAGAAGCCGGACAGCGACAACGATAGCGACAACGCTTCCGATAACGAGAACGAAGATGACGGAAAGGTGCCAAAGGCCAAGACCAGGCAAGCTACAGATGTGAAGGTCGTCTCGAAGACGGCCAAGATGCAGGCCATCATGGCCGAGGCGCAGAGCAAGGGAGACGGTTCGGAGTTCGTGATCAAGCTTCAGGACTTCACCATGTCCTTCGCCGGATTGACGCTGCTCGACAGCACGAATCTCACACTCGCATTCGGACGTCGCTACGGATTCGTGGGCGCGAACGGTCTGGGCAAGTCGACCCTGCTGCGGCACATCGCCCAGAGGCTGTTCCCTGGCATTCCGAAGAACATCCAGATCCTCTACGTCGATCAGGAGGTCGATGCGACGGACGCGACTCCCCTCGCCAGCGTGATGGAAGCCGACGAGGAGCGAAACAACCTCTACAAGGAACTGGCCAAGCTCGAGGAGGAGAAGAAGGTCGAGGAGGCGCAGTACGCCGCGGGTGTCGAGCTCGAGTACGACGGCGCGCGCGATGAGCGCATCATCGAGGTGCAGAAGCGATTGGCCGAAATCGGCGCCCACACGGCCGAGGCTCGCGCCTACGCCATCCTCAGCGGTCTCCAGTTCACCGAGGAGATGATCAAGGGTCCCACCAGGCACCTCTCTGGCGGTTGGCGCATGAGGATTGCCCTCGCTCGCGCGCTCTTCTGCCGCCCGCATCTTCTGCTGCTCGACGAGCCGACCAACCACCTCGACTTGCACGCTTGCGTGTGGCTCGAGGACTTCCTGTCCAAGTGGAAGAAGACGCTGCTGGTCGTGTCGCACGACGTCGACCTGCTCAACAACGTCTGCACGGACATCATCTCCATCAGCCAGCAGAAGCTTTTCCAGTACCGCGGCAACTACGACGCGTTCGAGCACATCGCCTCCGAGCAGCTGCGCCAGCAGATCAAGGCCTACGAGAAGCAGCAGAAGCAGATCAAGCAGGCCAAGATCGAGAAGGGCAAGGCCGGCAAGGCCGAGGACGCTGCCAAGAAGAAGGCCAAGGAGAAGGGCAAAGGCGGCGGCGGCGGAGGCAACCGCAGGGAGGGCAGCAACCAGGCCAAGAAGGCCGCCATGCGCAAGGTCCGCGAGGTCGAGGAGATGGAGAAGATCGCCAAGCCGCCTAAGGACTACCGGGTCTCCTTCTCGTTCGAGGAGGCCGACCCGCTGCCCCACCCCGTGCTCCAGGTCCAGGAGGTCGGCTACCGCTACCCCGCCGGCCCCGGCGAGCCCGAGAACCCGTTCATCTTCGAGAACCTCAACCTGGGCATCGATCTCGACACCCGGATTGCCCTCGTCGGCCGTAACGGCGCCGGCAAGTCGACCCTGCTCAACCTGCTCACCGGCGACGCCGAGCCATCCAAGGGCATGATCATCACCTCGCGCAAGCTCCGCATCGCGCGCTTCACCCAGCACTTCGTCGACCAGCTCACCATGGACCAGACCCCCGTCGAGTACCTCATGACCCGCTTCTCGGGCATGTCCGAGCAGGAGGCCCGCAACCAGCTCGGCAAGTTCGGTCTCACCGGCAAGGTCCATCTCAACAAGCTCGGCACCCTCTCCGGCGGCCAGAAGAGCCGAGTCGTCTTCGCCACGCTCGCCAACAGCAAGCCCCACATCCTCTTCCTCGACGAGCCCACCAATCACTTGGACATCCAGTCCATCAAGGCCCTCGCCGACTCCCTCCGCGAGTTCAACGGCGGCGTCGTGCTCGTCACCCACGACCAGTACCTCATCTCGGCCGCCTGCAACCGCATCTGGTGCGTCGAGGGCAACGGCAAGGTCTTCGAGTTCCCCGGCGACTTCAAGGCCTACTCCGAGAAGCTCCTCGAGGAGATCGCCTTCCACGAGGAAGAGGCCTAAGCGATGATGGCCAGCCATCACCCACCACCTCTGGTGCCACACAACAACGAAAATACAACTATTTATTAGCATTTTGGCTTTCACACGCTGAGTGTGCAACCACGAAGCTGATTAGGGTTGCGTTAGAGCATGACGTGAGGATCATGTGATCGTAGTTCCCCTGTGCGCCTGGATGCTGCCGGTGCGACGTGCTGATGTGCTGACCAGACCAGACTGGCCTATCAAACGGGTGGTTGTGGGCTTTCTTGTTCGGCGTGTCGCGTTCACTGCAAAAATGGTGGTTGGCAGAGACGGGCGAGACTGCTTGACCACCAACCGGGTGAAGAGCAAAGATGAACCTGCAGATTGGGCATAGTCGAGCGGATGGGGGCGGGCGATCTGCGTCGGCCTCATCTGCTCCTTCATTTCCTGCACGGAGAGGCTCGCTGAATGCATCGAGTCATCGAAGCGCGAGGGATGAAGGAACGAGAGATACGGGAGGAGGGGTGGGGAAGGCGCAGCTGCAACTTAGCGCTCGGCTGCAGAAGGACCCGAGCATGCTGAAGCGCTCCATCTCCACCGGGCAGCTCACGACCCTCATCCAGACCGAGGTGGACGCATTGGAGGGCGAGCTGGACCAGCAACGGAAACTGGCTGCAGAGCCCAACGCCCCGCCTTCACGTGCGAATGATCTGCTGACCAAGAGCTTTGAAGAGGTGCTGCGCGACCAGTACAGCTTCATCGAGAACGACGAAGATTATGCCGCACAGATTTTGGGAGTTGCAGATGACCGAGTAGAGGAAGGACGCAGGCATGCAACGCCGACCGCCGCGACCAGGGGGCGTGCAGAGAAGACGGTGCAGGAGGCAAAGGAAACGAAGAAGGAGAGGGAGGCCGTTGCTGAGCTCTTGCGAGTGCTCAAGGCGGGCGAGGGGTCCCACGAAGTGGGCGACAAGAAGGCCAAGGAGGTCAAGGTGGAGCACTCCTACTTCGTCGGATGGCTGCAGAAGGCACGCATCTTCTGCCGTCTGGACCGGGCCGTTCAGCAGCAACCGCAAGCAAACATCGACATCTTTGGTACTACCTCCACCTCACCGCCCCACCCTGCTTCCCAACCAACGTGCAGCCCGATTGAAGCGAAGACTTTCGTCTGATCCTGTTCATCTTCACTACCACGACTGCTGTGCAGATGACTTGCTGGCGGCTGAGACCCTGGACTACGGCAAGGAGGCCCTCGGCTACTATCAGAAGTGCATCTCCCTCCTGCCGCACCTGGCCGGCCTCACCGCGCCCGACCTCAAGCAAGCCAAGGTGCCACGCTCACCCCAACGCGCGGACCACACCTTACGTCTCGAGAACAGCCATTACTGACCCGCTCTTCCTTCGTGTGCCTGAAGGTGTACCTGTTCAGTGAGCTCGGGCAGTACTACCAAGGCAAGGGCATGTACGAGAAGGCTCTCCAGGTGCACCACTCACCCATCCGACGTCCAAGAGTGGCACAGCGCTTCTGATGCTAGTCTCGCCTGTGTTGTTGCGTTGTGGCAGGTGGCGGTAACGCTGCTGTCCGAGAACAGACAATCGCAGGAGATGCAGCAGATGCTGCGCGACTCTGTGACCGTCTTGAGGGAGACCGCCGATGCGAATCAAGCCGCCTTCATCATATCCACCATCAGCAAGCTCAAGTCGCCCATCGATGGTGCGTACGCCGAGGATCAGTGATCATCATCTACATATCTCTGTATGTCCAGAATATAAGACTCACTCTTTTCTCCTCACCACAGCCTGCGTGGACTTTATCAGCGCGACCTACATGCAGCTCGAACCACTTCTCCAGCGAAGCTCCGATCCCACGTACAGAAACATAGCCTCACTTCTCGCCCTCGCCTCCCCTCTGTCGCCGAATATTAATACGGCTTACTCCATACTCTTGTCTGGTCATGTGCGCAGGTTCATCCAAGCGCGCATCAGCATCGTCAATTGGTACAAGCTCCTTCTGTCGGAGGCACGCGTCAAACGACAGTGCAGCAAGCCGCCGCTCTCCGTCAGCCTGCGCCTTTCGAGCGGCATACGCGATGAGGGAGTGAAAGTGGTCGACCACACGCAGGAGTCGGTAGAGCGCCTTCGCCTTTTCTTTCTCAATGGGGGCTTATTGTTAGGGTTCTCTTACGCTCTGTGTGGACTTGGTGGATCTGTTGCAGCTCATGATGGACTTGCTGCTGGGCTACCGCGAGCACGATCATTCACCAGAGGTGAGCGAGGCCGCCAAGCTGGCCATCGAGCAAGTGGCCGAATTTACCCTGGACATTATCGAGGAGGGCTACGAGCACGTTCAGGCCGGCACCGAAGGTTGGTCCCGTCTCCACTTCGCTTCGCCTTGCGCTGAATCGGCTCACCGCCTCTGCTCGTCACACCAGAGGCGGAGGGCCACGTGATCAGCATCCAGGTTCACATGGAAAGCCTGGTGCAGCGCTGCTCCTACTTCCAGACCATGCTCTCGCTCAACATGGTGGAAAAACAAACCCAGCGCATGAGGTGCAATGCAACCCCTGTTCAAACCCTCCCTCCCAATCACGCTACTACTTCTTTGCTGATCGATCTCTTGTTTGTGGCTCTGTCGTGCCCTGTGGTGCGCGTAGAGTCGTGACGTCTCAGCCCTATGTGTTCTTGGACATGATCGACTATCTGTATCGCTCTGGTGGGTTCTCCTCTCCCTTCTCCGCCTCGACCCGCACCGCTTGGATGGAGGGACTAACTCAATATACCACGCACACGCACACACATACAAACAATATTTGACCCACCAGAGGTGGAGTTCGAATCGTTCGATCACGCGCTGGCCGTGTACATGGTCGCCAATCAGTACGGGGTCGCCGAACTGAAGGAACTGGCCTCGAATTTCTTGTCGACCAGCGCCCACACCTACGCCGCGGAGATCGAGAGCGATTGGGCCAAGTTCAAGGAGGTCTACTACCTGGCCGACACCATGAACCTCCCAAACCTCAAGGTTCGCGCGCGCTCTCTCTCTCTCTCTCACTCTCACGCAACCGACCACTGCTGTCCTCTCTTCCACACGCATGTCAGTACACTTATCTGGTGTGATTCTCCCTTTTGTTGGACGCAGGCGGCGCTGATGCAGCATTTGACCACCAACCAACGTTGGCTCAACAACTTAGATTCGCTGCCGCCCTTTGGCTCAGGTGCCGCACTGCTGGAGGAGGCAACACGCGCGTGAGGCGTAAGCGCGCGATTGTTGCAGACACTCATCATACTCCCCCTGTCTTTCTCTCGATGAGCCAGATATGCAGCACTTGCGGGACATCGAGTCCCACTTCCCTGATATCTTTGCCCGTGTATCGAACGACGGGCTAATCAAGAAGATTCAAAGCGCGGCCAAGCACGGTACGTGGTAGGCCTAGGGCTTGATGGCGTGCTGATGCTGACGTGGCTGCTTCGGGTTGGGGGGGGGTGAGCAGACCAGCTGGCGATAGCCGAGTTCCTTGTCGACCTGCTAACCAAGCGGAAGAGAGGATCGTCCGTGCCGTGGTATTCCTCCACCTCCTACGAGCCCGCCGCAGGGTCGCAAGAAGAGTCAGTCGCCGCCACAGTGGACGCCCAGGGCATGTGCTCGGAGTGTCGTATCGTGATGGGCCACCTGACCACCTGCTCCATGTTCAAGAACTTCAGGTACTACAACACACACACACACACACACACACACACACACACACACATGAGTCAGCGCTGATTGATGGGATGACTACGCTGCCCTGCTTATCAGGAACATCGCCGGCCGCGCCCGTCCGGCTGTTCCGGTTGCCCCACCTCCTCCACCAGCCTCCGCAGCGGCCTCTGCCAGCCAGTACACAACGACGGGTGGTGGCTTCGTCCCGGAACCGCTTCTGCTCAGCCTGCTCGAGAAAGCGAACAGCGTCGCGTGGAACGATCTCGTGCTGAAGCTCCTGCGTTCCGGCTTCTGTGCCATCACCCCCTCAGGTCCGCCCTCTCTATTTGGCCCACCCTCCCCCACTGCTGTGAAGCTTACTCGCTGTGGTGACTACAGTGCTCGCGAAGCCGGCGGAGGCGAACGATGTGGCCCTGCTCGGCCAGCTGATCGACATTCTCGCCGCGGTCTACACCGAAGAAGACGCAGAGACGCCCGGTGAAGCTGATGGTGATGACGTCAGCAAAGGAAAGGGAAAGGAAAAGTTGCGGGACCACGAGGAAGCGGCGGCGGCGGCGGCGAAGGAGGAGGTACTGAGGAGGCGCGAGGGCAAGTGGCAGTGGGAGGGCGACTCGTCCGACTGGCACGACTACGACGAGACCGCCAACCAGCTCATCGAAGCGGCCTACGCCTCGGGAGCAGTGATGACCACCCTCACGCACGGCTACTTCGCAGGCGGCAGCGGCTACACGATCATGCTCGACCGCCAGAAGCAGCGCAACAACGCCACCAACTTTGAGCGCAACATCCGCCGACACGACCTGCTGCCCGGTACTCTCTTCTTTTCGGTTGGCGCACACACTTTCGGCCATGGCCTCTCACCACCGCCGCGAGCGGCGCCTCGTGTGTGAAACAGGTTACCCTTCTGCAGCGGCAGCGCCGCTCGTGCTTCCGCAGGAGCCGAAGAGGCACCTTGCGATGCTTATGAACGCGCCAATACACAACGGGAAGACACTGCTTATCACCTTCATCGAGAAGCGGATCCCGCTCTCCGTCCTCAAGCGGTTCCTCGCTCTGGGCAAGGACGTACTCGGTACGAGCCACACATGACACACACACGCACGACACGCACGACACGCACCTCATGGTTTGGCAGATGTGAACGTGCGCGCATCGCTGGAGTCGGGCGAGTCCGTCACGGCGCTGGCGCTGGCCATCCAAAGCGTGGCGGATGCGTGGAACGAGGCGGACGAGCTGATCTCCCTGCTCCTCGCCCTGGGTGCCGACCCCAACCTGGAATTCACCGTGGCCTCCCTCCTGGGCACGAAGCCGGTACGCGACGACTCGGCACTTCACTTCACTTCACTTCACTTCACTTCCTCCTCCCTCTCCTGACCGCCTGCGCCTCACACCGGTGGTGTGGTTGGTGGTCATGGTGGACACGTGCGCAGTCCACGCCCCTGCTGCAGGCCATCAAGCAGAACAACTTTGAGCTTGTGCAGCGGCTCGTGTCTGCCGGTACGCTCTCTGTCCCTCAAACGATACGAAACGCGAAACGAAATGAAACGAAACAAACGAAACAAATGCAGGTGCGGATGTGAGCTACAATGTGCCAACGGCGCGACCGCCGCTGAGCCCGATTGGCGCCGGCCGCGGCCCAGTCGCGACCCTCTACTCGCCGGAGGAGGACCTGCTCGCCTCCCTCAACTCGCACGCCGACCGCAACCCGCTCTTCGCCGCCTGCTTCGGCCGCGAAGAATCCGAGGTGAGCCCCTCCCCCGCTTCCTTTGAGGCCGCGTCGCTGACCACCGGTGTGCGGCTGCGTTCACCGTGAGCGCAGGACAGCGCGCGCATCGTCCGGCTGCTGCTCGAGAAGGGCGCGGCCGGCGGCCCGCCAGACCACCAGGCGACGAGCGCTGCTGCCGCCCCCACTCTACGGGGTCCGCGACGTCGCGCGCGCTGGCTCCTCCGCCCGTCCTGGTGCTCCCCAATGCCGCGAGCGCCACCACCAGCCAGGCCCTGGATGCCAGCGTGGTCCGGGGCAACACGCCGCTCATGGCCGCCGCCTTCTACGGCCGTGCCGGTACGGTCACCGCAGGCCGAGAGGGCTGGGACGCTTTGCTGACGTCAGCATATTTTTAAATGCTCATGCGCTCAACCGTGCAGATCTCGTGCAGCTGCTGCTCAACGTCGGCAGCGCTGACCAGACGGCGGCCGCCAAGCCCAAGAAGGCCAAGGGAAAGGAAAAGGAAAGCGACGACGAGCCGTCGCCGCGACCGCGGTCTGCCCGCCCGCCAGTCTCACGCGCGTGCGACGTCGGCGCGCGCAACTGGTGGCACTGGTCGCCCCTCCACTTTGCCTGTACCGTTCCCGCCCTGCCCGTCGTGGCCCACGACACCCAACGCGCGCTCACCTCTTTTCTGGCGCGCAGCGTCGGCCGGCCACGAGGAGGTGGTGCGTCTGCTGTGCCAGGCGCCCGGCGCGATCGATTCGGCGTGCGTGGTCAGCTCCAACGGCATCGTCAACACGGCGCGACAGATGGCCGCCGACCGCCAGTTCAATCGCGTCCTGTCGCTCCTCTGCGCGTACGCACCCTCTCCCCAGCACCTCGCAGCTGACGTGTGCTGACGTGTGCTGTGGTGGCGGCAGGCTGCCTGAGGACCCTGTGGTGCCGTCGCTGGCGTCGTCGCAGGGCAGCGGTGCCGGCGGCGAGAACCGCAACAGCAGCCCCGGCACGTTCCAGCACTCGGCCGAGCTGGCGCCGCTGCAGACCTTCACGTCGGTGTCGGCCCTGGGCGGCGGCGCCACCACCACCGCCGTGTCCACCCTCTCCGGAAGCGGCACCGCCAAGTCCAAGAGGCGCCTCTGGGACCGCCTCAAGTTCTTGTGATTCAACACAGCCCACCACGCGCCCAACTCTTCTGTACTTTTCTATTCGCTCTGCGTGTTATGCAATTGACATGTGACATGTGACATGTGACATGTGACGAGTGGCTGGCTTGGCTCACTGGGTGGTCAAGGGCTCGGCGGAGGTCTGGTGCTGGGCCTTCTTGGTGAAGGCGTCGAACTCGTCGTCCTTGATGGCGAACGTGTGGGTGCCGTCCTCCGGGTACTTCCGGGCCACCACGTCGTTACGGTAGTCCTCCACCGCCTTGCGCATCTCCTCGCCCACGTTCGCTGCACACACGCACACGCACACGCGCACACAGAAAATATGAGTGCGTGCGTTTTGTGTGTGTGCTACGCCGCACACACGGCGCTGAGTGGCGTCAGCGCACCGTATTTCTTGAGGAACTTGGGCTGGAAGGACTGGATGTCGGATTGGCCCACCATGTCGTCCCACACCAGCACCTGGCCGCTGCAACCGTTGCCCGAACCGATGCCGATGGTGGGCACGCGCAGCTGCTGCGTGATGAAGGTCGCCACCCGGTCGGGAATGCACTCGAGCACCACTGTGGGCGGGCAAAGATAAGCAAACGCGCGTGCGTGAACGCTGGCGCAGCATTGTGGGGGGGGGTGCGAAGGGCGCGTACTGGCAAAGACACCGGCATCCTGGAGGGCCAGAGCGTCCTCCAAGATCGCCGTGGCCTGCCCCGAGGTGCGGCCTAGGGGTTCACGCACAAAGAGAAGAAGGTGGTGAGCCAAAGCATTCCCCCAAGTCACTCGTACGAGGGCGTGGAGGCAAGCGCACCCTGCACTTTGAATCCGCCCAGGGAGTGGATGCTCTGCGGGGTCAGACCGATGTGGCCCATGACCTGCCGCCCATCACCGCGCCCGCCGGTGGTTAGTGGACGTTGTGTGGTGGGCAGATCCCAAGGGGGCGACTGTACGGGAATGCCGGCTTCGACGATGGCCTTGGCCCTGGCGGCCATGCGCTTGCCGCCTTCGAGCTTGATGGCGTTCATGTTGGCCTCCTTGATCAGCCGCATGGCGTTCTCCACCGCCAGCGCGCTGCTCGGCTCGTAGCTCCCAAAGGGCATGTCGCCCACCAGGAACGAGGTCTGGTTGCCCCGGTGCACGCACTTGGCATGGTGCAGCATGTCCGTCATCGTCACCGGTATAGTACTCTCGTAGCCCATCGTCGTCTAATATAGAAATCAACCACACATGTCAGCAACATATTCATATATACATGTGTTTTTCTATATAAATAAAAATGTAGCAAGTGGTTGCAGTGCAATGGGTGGTACCATGCCAAGGGAGTCGCCGACGAGGATGAGGTCGATGCCGCCCACCTGCTGGATGATGACGGCCGAGGGGAAGTCCTTGGCGGTGAGCATGGTGAGGGGAATGTTCTTGCGGTACTTCTCCCCGAGGTCGAGCACCGTGGTCCGCTTCCCGATGTCCTTCGTCGACGTCGGTCGCGGGTGCGCCGAGTAGCCACGCCTGCCGGAACCATCCTGCACCCTCGCCACGCTGCTGCTGCTGGTGCTGATGCTGGTTGTGCTAGTGGTCGTGGTGAGCGAGCGGCTGCTGGTGTGTGCGACGGTAGCAGGCGAAACTCGACACAGCAGTGAGCGCATGGGCGAGGCCTTGGCGGTCTGTGACATTGATCTCTTCATTTCTTTCTCGAGTGCTGGTCTGGCTGGTTTGTCCTAATCTTCTCTTTGGTTTTCTGTTTTTATTGACCGATTTTTATCGCTATTTATTGTGTATGATTTGTCTGAATTCAATCCAATTCTCCGATTGGTCTTTTGATTTATGCCCAACCGGACATTTGATTTTTATCCTTTTTTATTTTCAACACCTTTTCGTGAACATGCCACGTCACCAGGCCAAGCCGCGGCAAGCTCACATGGCGTCGTGCCTGGCGAGGGCTTCGGCCGTGAGGGCAGACGGACCCGAGGCAGAAGAGGACGACGTTGAGAAGGCCGATCCCCGCGGGCGGTAGGACGAGGGCTTCTCGCTGAGCAGCGTCGTCGTACCCCACTTCGGATAGATTCTGGTTTGTATGTGGTGTTGATGATGATGAGGAAAAAGATGAAGCGAGAGCTGAGGAGGCGCTGTTGGGGTGGGGGTTGTTGTTGTTGTACGTACCGCTTGTAGAGGTTCATGCACACGGTGTCGTGGTTCTGGATCTTGCCATCGAATCGGCACTTCATGAGGCCGTGCGTGCCCAGGGGCTCCTTGATGTGTCCACTGCGTCCGTACTTGGTCCACAGCTCTACCGGCGAGAACCATCGCACGTCGTCTGGAGAGCCCAACGAACCATCAGCGCCGCCAGAACCACAATAAGAGCGAAGAAGAGCGAAGAGTGAAGAAGAAGAAGCGTCGTACCAGGGTGGTAGAACATGTGCTTGATGACGGCTCCGCGCTTGTGGATCTTGTAGGGATAGCCGGTGAGGACGATCTTCTTGACCACCACGCGGTCGGGGTCCACGGAGAGGAGCGAGCCGATGGCCACCAGCCGCAACGAGTGCACGGGCTTGGGCGACGCCGAGAGGCCAAAGTTCTCGTCGATCTCCTTGAACATGAGCACTGGCGCGGGCGGCACCCTATGGTGGCGGAGACGTGTGAGCCCCATGGAATGCACATGGTGCTGGTGCGTGCGTGCAGTGTGTGTGTGTGTGTGTGTGGTGGACGTACATGACGGGGCCGTAGATGGTGGCCACGGAGTTGCGGTTAGGCTGGAAGAAGCGCTCGGACTTGAACTTGTCGGAGCTGATCGAGTGCTGCGAGAAGACCGGGCGCGACCTGTAGCGCCGGAAGCCGCACTGGATGATGAGCTCCTCCTTCGACTTGACGGGCTCCGTGTACGAGGGCATCCTCTGCACGGCAAAGTTGATGACGGTCGTCTTGTGCTCGTGCTTGAAGAGGCCGCTCACGACGAACGGGCGCGAGGGGTTGATCCACTCGCCCAGCGCCTGCGGCACGTTCAGGACGTGCAGCGTGACGTAGGTGCCCATCTGTGTGCCACCGCCTGCGGTCAGCAGGAACGAACACACACACACACACGCCACAAGGGCTGCGTACCACAATGCCGTCTCTCTCGTCGAGGAGCTTCTTCACGGTCCTGGTGAAGTTCTTGAACTGGAAGATGCGGGCGTAGTCCAGGGGCAGGTTCTCCTTGGGGTCCCACGGCGTGTTGCGGAACGACTTGAGCCCTCGGTACTTCTGGAAGCGGATCTTGGCCTTGACGCTCATCGGGGTCTGCACCTCGTCCGGCCACTTCATGTCCTCCGTGGCCTCCTGTCGCATGCGCTCACGTTCCCTGTAATCACAAATGAGAACCATCAGCGCGAAGCGATTGGTGTGTGTGTGTGTGTGTGTGTCGTACAGTTCCGCCGCTTCCATATCTATGGTCTCAGTGCCGTCGCCATCCTCGGTCCACCCATCCTCACCATCGTCTTCACCATCATCCTCCTCATCGCCGTCGTTGTCCCCTCCCTCATCGTTGCTGTGTTCCGATCCGTCCATGCCCATCTCGCCGTGCTCCTTGCCCTTCTCGCCGCCGTCCAGGTCCATCGATCCCTGGTCGTCCTCGTCGTCTTCTCCTTCGCCGTCATCGTCCTCATCCTCGTCCGAGTCGACAATCCAGGCCGACTGGTACGAGGAGTAGCCCTTGGGGACCTTCTTCCTCTTCTTCTTCCTGTCCGTGCCCGAAACTGGTGCGTGACAAAAAATAAAATAAAAAACGTTAATTCCTGCGCGAGCGTGCGTGGTGGAGGCACGGTTGGGGAGGTACCCTGAGACATGATCTCCGCCTCGTCCTCGGCGGTCAAGTTCTGCTCGTTCGCCATCACGTCGGGCACCACCTCGGATTGCAGGGATTCCTGGAAGCAACGGTGCATGCTGTCAGTGACCACTCGCCGACACAGCGTAGGGTGAAGAACACACAAAAAATAAAAATAGGGGAATGGAAGTGTTGTAGTCGGTGAGATGTGGGAACCACCTCTTCCTTCCGCGCCAACAAAAAGAATGGCGAGAAGTAAATCGCTGGGTTCCCTCAGTTTTTTTTTAAAAAAAAACTGATTGTTATGGCCTGCCTTTTATCACCGGTCAACATTGCGCGTTGGCAGTCGTTGGCGGTGGGTTAACGGAGGCGCGTATTGTTGTCGCGAGATGTGCGGTAATGCGCGCCCAGCCGCGAGACAACATAAAAAGATGGTTGTTGTTGTTGTTGGGGGAGAGAAGTAGGTGTGGGGTACCTGCTTGTCAGGGTCGGCCATGTCCAAAATTTCCAGAGTCTCCCTCCGCTGTGCACCCTCGCCCTCCTCCGCCTCCATGCCCTCGCCCTTCTTGCCGTCCTTCGGCACCCGCGTGCTGTACGGGTGGGGGTCGGGCGTGCCGTCGATCTGCGACATCTGGAAGTCGCCAAAGTCGGGCAGGTGCACCAGGTCGTTGGCCGACAGCGGGCCGCCGCGCAGGTAGCCTGTGGAAAAGGTCGAGCGTGTCAGCTCAAGCCTGCGGAGAACTGGCGTCGCACATTTGGGAGTGGCTGGTACATACCCGACACCTTGAGGATTCCCACGGGGATGGTGGTCGACTCGGCGAACGGCCCGGAGGCGGCTGAGGGCTGCACGCCGGTGGGCTCGAAGTGGAGCGAGTCGACCAGGAGATAGGGTCGCCTCTCCCTGCTCAGCACCTGGCGTACTCGCAAATTGGACAGGAAACGCATGACCTGGGTGGCCTCCTGCACGTAGTACGAAACCGCGGGTGTGAGGATGCCGCGAATGCGACACACACACACACACACACAACGAACAGGGTGGGCCGCGGCCGTACGTCGGCTGTGTCGAGAGGAAGCACGCGATCAAAGTCGGGGAAGTGGAACTCAGCGAATTCCTTGATCTGCTTCTTGATGTCGGCTCTGTTCTTCTGAGGAACGGCAGCCAGTCCCTGGTGTTTTTACTGAATGCGCATTCCACAACGTTTTGTTAGGCCCACACAGGCAGCGGCAAAAATAAGATTACCCCAAAAACGTGTGTAGCCTCACTGTTCCACGGCAGAACCAACTATCCAGGTTCAACGCCGCTTACGCGGAGGCATCACCAACAGTAGGCGATCGAAAAAAAAGAGTTGCTTTCGCTCATGCTTTTGAATGGTTAGAACGGCGAAAAATGGGTTCTGCCACTTCAGTACAGAGCCTGACCAACCACACACCGCATACGACGCACATGACGCACACGGTGGAGAAGGCGGGGAGCGGGGCATGCAAGGGGGAAAGTGTTTTACCTGTAGTGCGACCAGCAGGGAGGGCATTCCCTGCGCCTTGACGGCCGACAGGAAGGCCTCGCCGGTGGCGTCCACACCACCGTCGGCGGGGATGACGAGGAGAAGAATGTCCGCGACCTGTAGCGGACCAAAGAAACGGCGTGAGACCGCGAGCCCCACTACCACCACCACCACTCATCGCTGTGTGATTACACACAAAAAGAGGTGTTTGACATCGTTTCCCGGTACCGTCACCCAACGTGTTTGGGCAAAGGTACGTTCAAGACGGGAATGCACATCACTGTTTCTCTACCCTACGAATTTGACACCCGCCAAGAGGTGCGCCCTTGGTAGGCAACACGGTAGGGAGCACAACGCAACACAACGCAACGCACAGGGTGGTGCCGAGGTTTGTGAGAGATGCATACCTTGGCGATGTCCAGCACGGCCTCAATGTCGCGCGGGGCCTCGAACAACGTCATTCTCTGCTTGAACGCCGGGAAACTGGAAAGAGGTAGCAACGCATGAGCCAGCAGCCTGGCAATAACCATGGAGAAGAAGCGGTATGTAACGTACTTGGCTGTGATGGGACCCACTCGCTCGGCGGAAATAGGAGAAGATGCCTCCGCGAGCAGCATGGATCGGGCAGCCTTGGTATCGGCATTGGCGCCCAGGCTAATGATACCCTGCAGGCACACAACACATCCATCGTGTGAGCACGAAAATCGCAATTAAAAAGCGGCGTGGGGATTAAATTAGGAAAAGATGGAACATCAGCGGAGATGTAACGTACGATGATTTTGGGCGGACCGGCCGAAGTGCCCAGGCGCTTGCTGTGAAGCACCTCCGCCTTCTTTTGTAGGCTCTTGATGTGTTGCAGCTTCTTTCGGTTCTCACGCGAGTTACCGACGACCTTCTTGAGGCTGGGGCGCTGCTGGACGGTGGTCTTGCCAACCTTACCTGTCGATGAATGAACGAACGAACAAAGGAGTTAATCATTGCCAAACAGTTCAGAAGATGAGATTCGATTTCGGTTGCGGTACCTACCCTTCACCTTGCGGCGGAGTTCACCCTTGGTGGCATGCTTGCCGGGCTTAAACGCCTTATTCGTCTGCTTCAGCGGGCCTGGCCTGTGGCGATGACCCTCCATCTCGATGTCGCGTTGCGATTTTGCAAGAATCAAGCGAAGAAGAGGGCAACGTTGGTGTTGTGCCTCCGGAAAAGAAGAAATAGCGGAGAATTACTTTATGTCGACACTGGCTGATGTCAGCCAAAAAATAAAATGGCCGTAAAAATCACAACATGCAAAAACTGGACAAAATCCTGGCTTGACCCAGAAATAGCGCCCTCGCATTCAATCGATAGGACGAGGGAAGGTGGAAGATGCTGCTGGTGTTCGACGACAAGCATAAGGAGGACCTCGAGTTCCTCAAGACCACAAATGTTAGCATAATCACCGAATTCTGCAAAATCGCCGTCAACTTCATTAAATCGGGAGCCAACAAGAAGCTTTTTGCTGGCGCTGCTCGTACGATCCCTCTCCCACCCCATATCTTCTTTCCTGCAAGCGGCACTGTTGGGCGGGCAGACCAGTCAACCATTTGCTCTCACCTATGCAGAGGCCCTCGACGTTGATGTCGAAACAGTGGAGCACTGCGTGGAAGGACTCGCGCACCTCTTCACCGAGAGCGCCAAGTACGGTCCCGCTTCTGCTCCTTTCCCCATTGCTCCTTCTCGGTTGAGCTTACGTCCGGCCCTCCCTTTCGCCGTGCATGCACACAGGACCCGCATTACCGAGATCGACTTCCTCGACTCCCTCATGCTGCTCTCTTTCCCCCAAGAGCTTACCGAGAAGCTCAAGGAGGTAATCCACCGCTTCACCCCGATCGCTCGCCGCCCTTTCTCTCTCTCTCGTCTAACTGTCGTCCGCGGCGCAATCAGTTCTACTTCGGCAATCACGTTGAGATTCGAAGGGTGATCGCAGAGCTGTCCTTCTCCATCCCGCACTACCAAAGCCTCGAGTGGCGGCTGGATATCCAGGTGAACATCATCACCATCTTCTTCTTCTTCTTCGCTCTTCTCACTCTCTTCTTTGGGCCGGCCTTGATTTCTTACCACCAACGATCATCACGCTCCAGGTGGGAAGCCGAACGGAGCACCGACAGATGAAGTCCGTCTACACCCTGCAGCTGGAAACCATGAGCGCAGGTACAACGCGCGCACGCGCCAATGCTTTGCTCGGCCTGCTGTTAATCGTTGGACTCCGTCTGCACAGAGCCGAAGGTGGAAACGCTGCAGGCCGACTACAGCAACTTGAAGCACCTCTGCACGGAGCTCGAGCTCGCCCTCAGGGAAGCCCAAGCCGCTCAGACGAGGCGCATCATGAGGAACATCAAGTGAATCCATGTACACACACACATCTGGTAGTGCAGGCAACTACGCTATTCGTATTACTCGTTACGTGTGGCGGTACATCGGGTGCACGCGCTCAATCCACGAGCCAGCTTGATGAGACGTCCTTGGAGGCGGGGAACAGCTTGCTCAGCACCTGTCGCTCGATCGGCGCCAGCTCCGGATGCCACACGTCGACGACGAGGGCCAGGGCAATGGCCTCCTCGCCTGGCTGCTCGCTCGTTGGCCCGCTCGGCTCGGCCCGCAGCTCGTGGGGCTGCGAGTCGTCGCTCACCAGGCAGGTCCCGGCCTCCCACTTTGCCTCCTCCGTCGCTCCCACTTGAAGTAGGGAGGTGTCGGGCCTCGTTGAAAGAACGAAGCGGCAGCGCAGCCGTGCGTTGGTCGGACCACAGCGCCGGCGTCGTTCTTGGCTCTCGCTCGACGAGCGCTTCTCGTCGCTTTCGTTCTTTCCTGTTCGCTCTTCGCTCTTTGACGTGTTGCGCAGCCGCAGGCCTGCGTCATCAGGATCTGAAAGCGCCACCGTAGCAGCAGCACTTGCGACATCATCACCGTCCTCCTTCTCCACGGCGTGGAAGTAGGCGAACCCAAACGCACACTCCTTCTGCACAGGACCACCGAGGTTTGAGGCATCAGTCAGTCGCACCACTACATCACTCGCAAAACCATCGGGCAATGCGATGAGAGAGTTTACCATCAGGCCATCGGCCGCGTGCCGCTCGAGCAGCTGCACCGTTTCGGGTGCGCGCTGTGCGTGGGCCTCGACGAAGGAGCCCTGGTTCCAGAGGTCCCACTTCCACCCGGTGCAGCCACCACCCTCCTCCTGCTTCCGCCACCCCTTCCCCATGTTGCGGCCTTCTCCCTCGAGGTCTGCTGCTCGTTCGGTCCAGAGGCGGCGCGCCTCGTCGGCCATGCGGGGAATGGCCGGCAGCAGCTGGTCGATCCACGAGAGCTGGGCGACAGTCGCTTCACCTTCATCTTCTTCGCCTCTCTTCCTCTTGAGGTTGATGGAGGCCAACCCCTTGAGGCTCAGCAGGGAAGGAGCAGGATTGATGGTGGCCGCAGCGGATCCGGCAGATGGGGAAGAGACCAGTTGCTTGATGGCGGGGCCGACTCGCGAATGGATCGTTCGGCGTTGGTCGTCATCTTGAAGGTCGTTCTGTGCAAGCGTGCGGAAAGATTCCCACAGATGCCGCTTGAATGCCTGCAGACTGGTGGGATCCGTCGAGAAGGCGCATCGGAGACAGCCAGGCTGCAGGCACATCTGCGATTTGGCCACGCCCCTCTTTTCCTTCTTGGCCTTCTTCTTCTCCCCTCCCCGCATCGATCGCAAAAGTGCAGGGAAGATGGCCACGGAGAGCATGAAGACCACCAAGGCGCCGATGATCACCACCTCGATCTCCATCGCGATTCCGCCTTGCTGTCAATTGTACTCGCTTTCTGCACAGAGATCTCTTCTCTTTCTTCTCCCTCCTTTTCCTTCTTCCCTTTTCGTGCGGCAAGCAAGATGGAGACCCAGACGAGGGGGCGGGCCGTCACCTGCAGTCGAGGAGAAAAGCGACCAGGCAAGAAGAGGCCGAGGCACGAACATCTCGCCAAGCGCAAGCGCGTGGAAGGAGAAGATGAAGATGACGGGTCGATTCCCGTCCCGGTCCTCCAGCAGGGTTCACCCGGGGCTGCAACAGGCGTGATCACGCCCAGCACGGCCTCGGAGCACCCCTTCGAAGCCGACCCTCGTGACCACGCCGAGACGCCCTTCCAGGCCTATCGCGACATCGCCCCGCTCCTCCGCGCCCTCGCCCAGCGGCTCTACGGTTCTGTTGTCGGCGATGCCAACGACGACGCCGATGGCGGTGTGGCCGCCGCGTCGCGTCAGCTGCGCATCTACGACCCGTACTTCTGCGAGGGCAGCATGGTGGCCTACCTGGCGCGGCTGGGCTTCACCAACGTGTACAACCGCAACGAGGACTTCTACGGCGTGGTGGCGGCCGGGCGGGTGCCGGACTTTGACGTGCTGGTCACTAACCCGCCCTTCTCGGGCGACCACATGGAGCGCATCGTGCGGTGGGCCGAGGGCTGCGGCCGGCCGTGGCTCCTCCTCATGCCCGACTTCGTCGCCAACAAGCCCTACTACCACGCCTTCCGCCATCGCTGCACCAGCACCAGCGCCGCCAGCGGCAAGCCCGTCTATATAGGACCCACCAGGCAGGCCTACGTGTTCGCCGCGCCGCTGCACACGCCCGACGGCGTCACACCGCTCGTCGGCCAGCGGCCCGCCACGGCCGTGGTGCCCGCAGGATTGAAGAGGAGAGCCGCAGACAAGAACGAAGACGACGAAAACGAAGACGACGAAGGTGAGGGTGCAGGGAAGGTGCAGGTGCTACCGGCGGGGTGCTTCCAGTGCGTGTGGTTCGTGCACCTCGGGGAAGCGCACGCGGAGGCGGTGCTGGCGCGGTGGCACGAGGAGCACTCGGCGGCAGAGGCCGAGGCCACGATCGCGAGCGAGGCCCGGCTGCTGCCGCAGCTCACCATCGCCAGGCGACCCACCCCGGCCGAGCGGCGCTGGCGCAAGAAGCAGCGACGCCTGCTTGCAGAGGGCCGGCCAACCAGCGACGCCGGCGGGGATCATGCTCCCATGATCACCAGCGGTGTTGGTCATCAGGGCGCAGGCGAGGGCAGCAGCAGCGCAAGTGGAGGACGAAGAGGCCTCCTGCAGCCAATGGCAGTGCGGCCGGACGAGAGTGGTGGTGTTGGGCGAGGACACCAGCGGGCAGCCCAGAAGAAGGGCCGAGGAGGGAGGACGGGCGGTGGTGTAGGCGGGCCACGAGCAAAGGCGCACCAGACATAAAGGTGCATAATTTAAATTGTATTTTTTATTTATTTTTATTCTTTGTTTGATTCAGTGCCGCAAGAGCACTGTGGCATGACACCTGAGCGTACAAGTACTTGGCTCGCTCGGAGGTGTTGGTTCACTACAGAGGACAAGTGAACAGATTCTGAACCGATTCAAGCGTGTCGCACGATGCTGTTCTGGAGGCGACCAGAGGTGGCCGAGATTGAAGAGGTGCTGCGGTCAGAGGGGCAGAAGGGATTCACGCACGAGGGCCACGTGCGTATGACGCGGGACGTGCGGTCGCGGGCCGAGCTCGAGGCGGCCCTGCGGGCGCAGGGCGAGGCCGGGCACATCTTCGACGTCGACCAGCTGCGCGTACAGCTCGGCAGCGGCCGTGAGTGCTTCGACAAGGCCAAACAGGCCATGCGCGCCTGGAAGATGTTTGACGTGCCCTCCTGGCTCGAAATCTGTTGGCCTCACTCTTCCATTCGGTACCACCACACCCCCTTGTCGTGTGTGCGGTGTGTGGTGTGTGCGGTGTGTGCGGTTTCTCATCAAGGCAATGGGATGGCGTGACAGGGAGGGCGAGACGTTGGGAACGCTGATCCTGAACATGGGGTTCTACTCGTTGGCAGCGTGCAGAATAGTCTACACGATCGACGAGGGGCCAGCGGCCGCACAGGGGACCACGGCCACCACGCATGCCAACCCGGATGGGAGCCCGAGCGGTGAGTTCCTGGTGGACGAGTGGGGCGTGGAGCGGTTCGGGTTCGCCTACGGCACTCTGCCGTGCCATCTGGTGGCCGGCGAAGAGCGCTTTCAGATCGAGTGGGACAAAACGGTACGACCGCCTTGAACCGCACACACGGCCAGTCGCACACGCAGGTTGACATTTCAAATAATGGGCTGACCTTCAGGACGACACGGTGTGGTACGAGGTGCTCTCCTTCTCCAAGCCTCAACACTGGATGGCCAAGGTGGGCTACCCTGTTGCCAGGTACCGTACATGCCTCACTTGCTCCGTTGCCTTCAGCTGATGAAATGTGGACCTCACTCCACTTTTTGTGATGATGACGACAGATGGTTTCAGGACCAGTACCACCAAGAAACAGCTCTCGCGATGCAGCTGGCCATCCAGGATGAAGACGAACAGCAGGATGTGTAACAACACCACCACCACCACGAGTAGTGTAAGAATAGTTAGCCTTATTGTTTCTTTGTGGGAGTGAGTGAGTACACGCGGACAACGACTAGTAGCTGCCCAGTGCCTCCTCTCGACTCCGCACGCCGCAGGACTGGTCGCTCTGTGCCGGCCTTTCCGGCCTGCCCTTCGACCACTCCCGGTCCAGCTCGTTGAGCTCTCTCAGCTCCCGCTGCACGAACCGCACCCACCGCGAGTTGCCTGTGATACGGATCGCAAGCAGAGCCAAGTCAATTCACGACGTCAAGGAGCTGTCGGTGCGTGTGCGTGTGCGTGTGCGTGTGCGTCGGCTCAATGGTTCGTCGGGTCGTTGGCGTACTGTTGAGGAGGGTGTGGAAATCGGCCGAGTCGATGGCGGCGATCTCGTTGGCCAGCTTGGCGAGGTGGCCCAGGTACCCCGCTCGCTGCGCCACCGGCTTCTTGGCCTCCTCTCGGAACGCGTTCGTCATCCGATCGAGCAGCCCGCACTTCACGATCGCCTGCAAACAATAACAGCGACAGCGGTTGCCGGGTCAGTCCTGCCTCTTGCCGCGCGTGTGTCGGTTGGTACACACAACACACGTACCTCGTCGATGAGTGCTTGTCGCTGTGTTATGAGAGCGTTCATGAGGAAGTTGTTGACGCCATGGTGGATAAAATTGTTAAAAGGATTCGAGTAGAAGATGTCCTGTGCGTGCGTGCGTGCGTGCGTGCGTGCTGCTGTGCGGAGATGGGCGAGGATAAGGGTCAGTTGCTTTCCAGGTATTGCTCGGCCACAGCGCAGGCAAGCTTCATCGTACGATGCAGGTCGCGAAAGTGTTGGCCTGGACCAGCTTCGCGTCCAAGACCTTGTAGCCCAGATCGACAATGAGCGGAAGCATCTCGAGAATCTGCCCATGCACGCGTACCATCAGCCCTCTGGAACCGAACACGCGACACACACGACACACGCGAGACACACACGGCACAGTAACAGCTCCACGAAGCCGTACCTTCAATCGCAAGAATCCCAGGGACACTTCGCTCAGCTTGGCACAGTTGTCCTTCGCCGGTGGCTCGTGTCTGGGCGCGGCGGGAAGCCGGAGCATCGACGTGATCCAGTCCAGCTTGGCGTGAAGGGCCTACACACCACCACCCCAAACGCGTCAGTTCTACTTGTGCGTGTGCGTGTGCGTGCGTGTCTCAATTGTCTGCGACGCGTACTTGCAGCAGGTGGGGCAAGTCTTTGAGGGCTTGCCCATAGGCCTCAGCACTTGAGGCTTTCCGCTTCTTCAAAAGTTGCATCAAAACTTCGATTCCCTCGAGTCGCACCACGCGCGACTGTTGTAGTGGCAAGAAGAGAGACACCAGCAAGATGAAGGTGAACGGAGCCGCCAGCTACCACCTTGCCCATGGCTATGAGTACGACGTACCTCGGGGAAGATGGAATCGAAGAATCGATGCGCGGTCTTTGTGTTGTCGATGTAGAGGTGCTCCAGCAGCAGCTCCCGCCCGACCAGAGGGGAGAGGCCCTCGCCCTCGACCAGTTGGCGCAGGACCTGAAGTCGCGCATTGTAAAACAACATTTAAATAATGATAATAATATTTATATAATATATAGATAAATATAATATAATGAAAAATAAAAAAGGCCGTACGCTGTCGGCGCCAAAGTGCTGGATGATGTCGCGACACTGCGAAGCGTCCCACGTCGACTCGACACCTTCGTCCTTCCAGATCAGCTCGAAATCGGGTCGAGACTGAGACGTGGAAAAAAAGGAGTTGTACAAGAGTGAGTCGTGTGTTGTGTGCAGGAAAAAAAGGGGGGAAAGAAGGTACTGGGGAGGGGGGGGAGTGTTGGTGAACCTTGAGCAACTTAAAGAGGGCGATCTCGCCTCGGAGGCCGGGCTGGTTGAGCTTCACGTTGAGATCGACCAGCACCGTGTTGGTTTGCACAGCATCGGTGAGGGCCAGTATGCCGTCCTCGCTGATCGAATTGTCTCGCAACTGTACAACAACACGAGACAATGTTTAGGTGAGGCGACGTTGACTTGGTTATGCGAGGAATGTGAGAAGGAGTGGAAGGGGGCGCGGGGGTACCTCCAGCGAGGTGAGGGTCGAGTTGGTCGCCAGCGTGTCCGCAAGCGCCGTCGCTCCAGCGTCGAAGAGCGCATTCTCGTTGAGCATCAAATAGCGGAGTCCCCTGTGTGATGCGGCACACGTCAGTCAACCACCCGCGGCCCACCTCCTCGGGCTCGAGTGGTAATGAGGTGCGTCGTACCTATTGGACCGCAGGGATTCGGCCAGGGTGGTCCCGGCGTACGAAATGCCGTTCGAGGAGAGATCTGGGGGGGAGGGGGAGGTCGAAGGTGTCACTCGCGAGTTGCCTCTGGCTCGCTGAGCTGAGCTGAGGGATGATGTGAGCGTACCCAGGCAGTTGAGCGTGCTGTTGACCAGGAGGGCCTCGGAAATGGCGTCCACGCCCGAATTACCCAGCCCGTTTTCCTGTTGGGTGCGTGCGTGAGTGGCGTAAGACCGTGGCCCTTGGACAAAGAAAGCAAATAGCAAGAGAATTAAAAAACAAATAGAGGAGTGGGGTACCTTGAGATTAACGTCGGTGAGAGAGGTGTTGACCTTGAGCGCATCAGCGATGGCGATGGCCCCGTCCGAGTCAATCCCGTTTCCCTCGAGCTGCAGCGTGGTCAGCCTGCTGTTCACCTTCAACGCCTCCGCCAGCGATTCCGCGCCGTCAAAGCCTAACACCGCACGAAAAACATCATCAGTTCAGTTGGTGGACCTCTCACCTGTGCGGCGCCACTCGTACTGGGAAGCGCGCACACGTACCGATCATGTTCCACTTGAGGCTGAGGCACTCCACGTGATCGTTCGTCTTGAGGAAGTTGGCCAGCATCGCGGCGCCGTGCCGCTCAATGTCGTTGGCATCCAAAATGAGCGTTGTGATCAAGCCCACTACCGGCGTGATCTGTCCGGGCGCGGGTCCGCCGGTCAGCATCAAGTCGTCACCGGACCACATCTATTATGGGCATGGGGATTGTGCAAGGCTTGCGCGTAGTAGTAGTAGTAGTAGAGTACCGGCTTGAGCGGCGGCAGCCTGTCCAGCAACTGGGCGAGGCCATCGTCGCCGATGCCGAGCGCTGGGAGAGTAATGGCACTGATTTGTCGCTCATCTAATAAGGAAGAAAGCGGTAAGTGGCGGAGGATTATCGGAGAGATCACGGTGGGTGGACCCACCATCGAGGGCCTGCAAGTAGGACTCCAAGTCCGTGGGCTCGATGAGTTCGGCGGCGGACTCAGCATCGAGCGAGGCGTCCTCGATAACCGGTGGGACCACCCCACGTTCGTGCACCAGCTCCTGCGTGGCGACTGCCGCCGGCTTGCTGCTGTTGATCTGCTGTTGCTGCTCCTGTCTCTGCGCCTTCTCCAGTCGCGCGATCATCTCCCGTTCCCTCATCCGTAGAGCGAATATTCGCATCTGTTCCTTCACGATCCGCGCCTGCCGCTCGAACGATGTCTCCTCCGCCAGCGGCGCGCCCCCGCTCTCCTGCGCCTCTTTGGCCTTTGCCGCCGCGGCTGCCTTCTCTTCCTCTTCTCTCTTCGCCTCCCTCACCAATTTGGTCCTGCAACCAAATGCACGGTGAGCAGTTGTCGCGGACACACGCATACGCGCACACGCACACGCATACACGCATACACGCACACACGCACGCACGCGCACACGCACACGACACACGCACACACGACACACGCGGAGGAATTGGAGCCATCGCGTACGCAAACTCGATGCTCGAGTGTCGCTTGAACTGCGCGCGTGCCCGGTGGTAGGAGGAGCCGCTAGTGGGTGAGCCCGGCGCCAAATGGCCGTCTAACGAGGTGAACAGCTTCGGTTGGTAAAAGTGTGTGAGCCCTATGTTTCGTGCAGGCAACACAACAGTTACTCCGCGTCAGTTCACACAAGCGGGCCGCGGTGCCAAGGAGATGCAAAAATAAATACCAATAAAATAAATAAATAAAAATCTGACGATGAGCAAGGGAAAATCGTTGGGGTTACCTGATTCGTTCTCGATGCCGCGGGACGAAAGGGCCTTGGCCTTGAGGCGAGCGTGTCGGTAGGATTCATCGATCTCCTGGCGCACGCGTTGGGTCATACCCGGCGAGAGTGGTCGTTCATCGTCGAGAAAATCGGTCTCCTCCACCATCTTCCTTGGCGAAAGGGGAAGCGCGATGGTGGTCTCATCACTCGTCACGATCACCAACGGTGGGAGCAGGCGCAGGAATGGCTTTTCCTTCTTGATTGCCACGTGTAATTGCAGAGAGCCCAAGGATGGCGAAGAGGGAGAGGGCTCGGTCTCCCCAGCTGCAGAATCTTCGCTCTTGTCGGGCGCTTGCATTTCGGCGCCCTCTGTGCTCCTACACAAGATGGCGATTGATCTACTCTTCGGGTTGGCTCTGCGGCACGAAAGCGAACTCCCCAATAATTGAAAATAATTAATAATTTCAATTGACCGTTACAGGAAACGAAAGAAAACGAAAGAAAATTTAAGTAAAAATAAAAACAGGGCCAACAATGCAGACGCAACGCACCCCGTTCTGGGAGCTGCTGTGCGGGCTGGAGGAGCGGTCCCTGCGAGAGCAAGACGCATCAAGTGCTGACGCAACCTCTCGCAATTCGGCCGATGAGGCCACCCCCACCAGTACGCGTTGTGTGGGTCAAGGGGGGGCTATGTTTGGCTCCTACGTGGAAGAACTCGCGCACCGCCTGGACGAAGTCGCGCTGGCTGGCCTGTGCCGGGCGGACATGGCGGCACGCGTGGCGCAGCTGCACGGTCGCCAGACCTCTTACGCCCTCGCTCTCAACTGCTCGGGCACTGCCTTCGTACGCTCGTTCTCCATCCCCTTGTAAGGTGCCTGTGACAAGTTGAGAGTTGACTCTGATGAGGTGCAATGGTCAGTTGCACCGCAAGAGGCAGGCCGATGGTGATGCTGAGGAGGACCAGCACGACCAGTACTGTGTCCAGTTGTTGGTGCGTGCAGCTGCTGATCCGTGTGCACGTGCATCTTTACAACTCCATTTCTGGTGGGTTGGACAGGAAGGCCTCAATCGCCTTGGGTGCCTGGTGGACGGCAGCAAGGCGGTGAAGACAAGCGACCCATTGTTCCGTTCCTTTGTTCGCTTCCAGGTACGCGCCCAGAGCTGGCAAATAAAGGCCTTACGTCAGGGTGCGGTATGCTCACCCCTTACTCTCATTGCTGACAACGACACCGCCACAACAGTTCAACAAGCTCAAAAGCATGGGCAAGATCCAGTACGAAAGTGCGGCTTGTGTGTACTCGCGTCGACGGCGAGAGCGGGTTCATGATCACTACCGGTATCCACCATCCTCCAATCGCCCGCTACACTTTGCTATTTTCATTTGAGTAACTGACCAGTCAGCACGCCAGCCTTAAAGGCGACGGGGTCATGCCCACGGCTTTCGTAGCGGTGAGGCAGGAGATCCTGATGGACCGCCTGCCCGAGACTTCTGGCCTTCGCCGCCTCCCGCCGCCTCTAGACCAACAGCAGCTCACTGTGTGCGTCGTGAGCCTGTGCCCCGCCAATGCACCCGAGTTAGTCTACGGCCAGACGTGCTGTCTCGTCTCTCCGGATGCCAAGCTGGGCCTCTTCTCCGTCTCTTACGACCCACACACCCCCGCAGCTGCCTCCTGCCCGGCCAACGACAGCGATGACGATCAATTGTGGGTCGTGTGCACCGCAGAGGCCATGGTCCACCTGCAGTACCAGGGGTGGCAGGTAGCGGCAAGTAACGCGCCCGCAGGGGATCTGGATCCAGCCCCAACGTGTTTCCTAGGCCTCACCGGGCGCGATCTGCTTGGAGCAGCCGTGCGGTGCGGCATTACCGGCCAGCCGTATGACGTCGTGCCCATTCTGCCCTCTCTCCTGCCCCCGCTAGAGGTCTGTACCCTCCCCTCCCACCATCAGTCGTCTCGGTCTGCTTCTGCTTTGTGGAGACTGGCTTACTCACACCCGATCCGTGCTTCCTGATGCGTATAGATGGCGGAAACGGGCGTCTGGATTGGTGCTCCAGGAGCCTGGACGGAGCACTTTCTGGCGTGCCGCGCTGCAGCGGCGAACGGCAAACAGTTTGGCATCAGCGCAGACATGGTAAGTCCTCTACACCAAGAGCTCTTTTTCTACCTTTTCTAATGAGTCGTTCGTGCGTCTGTATGCAGATACTGCCCGATATCAGTGGTATGATCGACGCGCGCAGTGAGGGGGTTGATGATGACCTTACGAACAATTTGTCTCGCACAGTTGGGGAGGACAAGGAGATGGGACCGTTGCTGGGTCGGCACCTGGCTGAGCAAATGACCGAGGAAGAGCTGACCCAGCATCGCCTGCCGGCAAGGCTCGCATATTGGCAGTACCGGCGAGCGCACATCGAGCTTGCAATCGAACCGTGGAAAGGAAGGTACGGGAGCGGCGCTCTTGGCGCCAAGATAGTTCCGGCCCACAATTCACTCACAACACATTGTCTTGCCCTCACACAAAAGGTTGTTGTCAGAGGTCTACGGGGCATTGCGACAAAAAGTGCTCTCCTCGCCGCAGTGCTTCACTTACTATGCCACCGAGAGCGAGTGCCTCGACTATGGAGGTTTGGCGATCTCATGCTACACATTGAGCGCATGCGTATGGTGTGACCAACTCTTGAGCTGAGCTGAGCTGAGCTGAGCTTCCCTCGTTCCACAGGTGAGAAGCTCATAGTCGCGACCCGGCGCAGATACTTTATCGACTTCACTGGTGAATGGAAGCAAGAAGTAAGTGACCTTCTCGACCAAATGGAATCCCAGAAGCGCATCAGCGAGGTATTACTCTGCCACCACCAGGATTCTAGGGGTATCCCTCATTGCCTCACAACCACGAATGCCATCTTCTTCTTACCAGTACGCTTCTGGCAAGCTCAAGCACACTTTGCGCGACATTCGAGACTGGTCCTTCGCACAGAGACGCATGCACGGAACAGCACTGCCCTGGGACAACAGGTATGTATCTCGAGCTATATAGCGGTTTGATCCGGTCGAATGAAAGTGTCAGTCTGGCTGGTCAGCCTCACACGGAGGGTATCAGGTACAGCATCGACCCGTATTCGGAGCAATCGCTCGTGCACGTCTTCCTCACCGTTGCGCACGAGCTTACAGGTTGCTTCCTCCCCCCTCTCAAGCGTTGTGTACTTTCTCTTGATTGCGCTGACACGTTTTCGTGGTGTCGTTCAGGCAAGGTAGCAGTTGATGACGTAACGGACGAAGATTGGGAGCGGATCTTCGCTCTCGGTCCGTCGGATGGGCCACCGCCCGCCGCCAGTCGCGTTCCGCATGCCGTGCTGGCCGCTGCTCGACAGGCGTTCCAGCACTGGTTGGTGCCACCCAAACGCCGCCGCCCTGTCGCAGTGACCCTCGGTCGGCTCGGCCTCACCCCTCCTCTTCTCTCTCTCTCTTATCATCACAGGTACCCTCTGGCGACACTCAGCCTCCCCGACAAGCAGCTAGCCTTTTCCGTCGGAGTGCATTCGCTGCTTCACCACGTGGCCCTGTTCGGCCGCCGCATGTGCCCGCAGGTGCGCGTCCACAAAGGCCTTCCCCCCCCCGAATGAACCTCAGCACCGTGGCACGACACTAACGCTCGTAGTACAGGCAATCGACCTGGCCCCAATGGCCCACAGGTACCAGAGGAGAAGAGAACATTGATTACGTTTCGGTATCACGCCCTGGCACCGGTGCCTCACGCCCTGCGTGTTGTGCTTCTTCAGGCCGTTCGTGAGGCGCGATATTGTGGAGCTGGCCTCGCATTCCGCCTCTGTCGTGCGATTGGTGATGGCCATGGGCCAGAGCGCAGACATGGAGCACCACGGCGGGCTCGCCCGACTCTACCACCTGAATGAGACCCTCAGGGTATACAACTCCCTCTTGCCTCTGGAAGAGAATGATGAGAATCTCAACTATATTGCCAACTCTTAAAACAACACCAGGGCCTGTGCGCCGGAGAACAAGCCATGCGGAGTGACTCGATCGTACGTACAGCTGTAGCTGATGCATGCGCGGCCTATCGGGTGGTACTCATCAGAAGAGACACATGTTTGTGCAGAAACAAGTGATGCACCGTCGAGCGCTGGTTCTGTTCGCCCATTTCCACTCGCCGGAATCGCCGTTCGCGATGCTGCCGCTCGAGCTCGTGGGCCACATTGTTGGGTCCATCACCACGATGGGCTGTCCCGGATTTGATGACCACTACCTGGTTCGCGCTTCTTCGCTTCTCCTCCGCCATCACAAGTCGAACCTTCTCATTCTCTGCGATGCCAGATGCACGTGGACAGGCTGATGCGAAGCGGGACCAGCGAGTGCTTGATTGACATTGCACACGCCCTCGCGCAAAACGACTTTAGGGAGGTGGTCCGAATCACACTGGACGTCATGCCACACGTCCTCGACCGGTACATAGCACCACACTGGCCGACTTCAATTCCTCCGTTCTGATGGGTGCTGAGCGATTCTAAATAGATATCGACGGGCTCTGGGCAAGCAAGGCACCGACGCACTCAACCGCACACTCATACGGCGCTTCTACAAGGTCCCATTGCTTTTACATTCCATCGTTGGCGGGAGGCTCTTGTATGCAGTCTCGCCTTACGCCACTGGCTGTGGTCGTGATGATCTGCGCAGATTCAAATGTGTGCGCTGTGGCCAATATGCCCGGTCTACTGCGCCTACGCATGGACCACGCACCTCAAGGCCACTAGCACCATGCCCGACTACTGGCGCAAGTTCGTGCGCGATGTTGATGACGGCTGCGAGGATGAGGCCGAAGATGATGGAGTTTCGAGGATACGTTCAAAGCTGCGCATCGACGTGGAGATCGACGAGAAGGTGGCCGAGCAGAGTAGCTACCTCATGTCGCTCATCGAGCGGCTCAAGGCGCTCAAGAAGCGCAAGCGTGGCGTGCCATCGAACGAGCTCGTGGCGCAAGTGACGGTGTGCCGGGGCCAGCCCGAGTGGGCCACGCCGATCGTAGCGCTCATGGAGGAGCACCTCCGGGGCGCCAGGCCCAGCGACCAGCAGCCGGCCCTGAGCAGCTACACCAAGCAGGTCGCACTGAAGCTGCTGCTCGAGCAAGCACCGTACATGCGCCACAAGTCCGCCGAGTTTGTCCCACTACTTGAACACCTCTGGGTACTCTTCTTCCTCTTCTTCTTCAAAGCCAACGCTCACGCTTGTCACCGTACAGCGGATGACGGTGGAAAGACGGTCTGAGCAAGCTGGCGCGGGAGCGGGTGCGCTGGCGTTCGACGAGGCGCGGCTCCTCGAGCGCATGGCGCCGTTCGTCGCCAGCTCGGCAGGTCTGGCCGGCCTCCGACTGACACCGTCGGTCGATGGCAGCACCGCAACGACCGTGGCCTCTCCCGCGGCACGGCTCCTCCCCGGCCTGCCCGCCATCGAGTGGCTGCTGGCCTTCGCAACCACGGGCTGATGGGGCCAGCAGCCACCTTACCACCTTCCATAATCTTCATCTTGACCTTCATCCGAACGTGGTCAGGTCAAGTGGTTGCATTAGTGCCAGGGTCGACGATGCCCGCCAGGGCCTCGACCCGTCGGGCCACATCGGCGATGGCACCCTCCATCGCGGCCACCCCGCCGTCGGCCTGCCTGAGCCACGCGCTCCGCTCGAGGAAGGCCATGCTGCTCTCGTGGGCGCGGCTGTAGAGGGTGGCCACCTGCTCGTCGAGCCGTCGCTGCTCGGCCGCCGTTGCCGCCCGCAGCTCCTCGGGGGTGCTGGCCTTCACCTGGCGGGCCAACTCTCCCAGGCTCTTCTCCCCTTGTCGTCGTTCCCTTGCATCTGGTGATCGGGACATGAGAGAGCAGAGCCTGATGAGCTTAGGCCTGCACCACACGATTGGTGGCTTGGGGGTTGGGGGGGGCTCGTACAGGCGAAGAGATCCAGAGGTGGGGCCTGCTGCGAGGGCAGGTAGACTCCAACCAAGGACTCCTGCTTCAGTGCCATGGATGCCAGGTCCTCGCCAATGTCCTCCAGAGACAGCGGCCGCCCACCTCCACCAACCTCTGCATCTCCCATCTTCGTAGTTTATATTTTCCTTTTAGTTTCTGGCTTTTCTTGAACGGTGCCGGTGACCTCTGAAGATGAAGAGCAGCAGGAGAGTGGGTTCGGCGCTGGCGTTGGGCGGGAGGGTACAGCGAGGACAGAGGATGGGCGCGACGGCGCTGGGTTCGCTCGGTGCGTCGAGGCGCAGCGTGCAAACCACGCCTGGCGAGACCAAGGGGGCGAAGCCGCTCCTCATGATCCCTGGACCCATCGAGTTCAGCGAGGGCGTTCTCCAATCCATCTCCCTCCCCACCCTCAGGTGCCAACACACTTCCATCTTTCACTTTGACTTGGTTGAGCTCGGGTGGTCCTCATCATCCATTGTTCATCGTTGGTGGGGGTGTGAAGCCATGTGTCGCCCGACTTCATCGAACAGTTCGGCCAGGCCCTCGAGCAGCTGCGCTCAGTGTTCCTCACCGAGAAGGGCCAGCCCTTCGTTCTGGCCGGCTCAGGTACCATCGCCCTTCTCCCCTTGGAGGAGCTGAGCTCTTATCAACTTCACCACCTAGGTACCCTCGGGTGGGACATGGCGGCTTGCAACCTTCTTCAGAAGGGCGACAAGGCGCTCGTGGTCAACACCGGCTACTTCGGCGACCGCTTCGGCGAGTGGTGCGCGTTTTTCCTACATCATGGCGTCGCCCACTCCCACAGTCCCTTCTCACACACTCACGCCTCTGCGTGTGCTTCCCGTTTGTCAGCCTGACGGCTTACGGTGCGGATGTGACCCATGCGCGCACAGACATAGGCAACTGCCCTTCGGTCGCCGACGTCACGCAGCTGCTCGGCCAAAGGTTGTTTTCGTTGCTCGACTTGAAGAACTTGAAGAAATGCACTTACGTGAGCTTTCATGCACCATCACCGTCACCGCACAGGGACTCGTTCAAGATGGTGACCCTGACCCACGTGGACACCTCGACGGGCGTGTTGGTCGACATCAAGTCCTTTGCGCAGGCCATTCGCAAGCACAGCCCCAACGCCATCGTGGTCGTTGACGGCGTGTGCGCCTCTGGAGGTGACGACACCCTCCCTTGATTCGTCTCCCGATATTCTATGCCCAAAACGAAGCGTGTGCACTCTCCTGCGACAGGCGAGGAGCTGCGCATGGACGAGTGGGACGTAGATGTGGTGCTGACTGCGTCGCAGAAGGCCATCGGCGTCCCGCCGGGTCTCGCGATCCTGATGGCTAGCCAGCGTGCCATGGTGCGTTTTGAAGCACACACACGCGAGCTCTTCAGCTTCTTCACACTAAGCCGTGTGTGTCGTGCGTGTGCGGTTGTGCGTGTGCGGTTGTGTCGCTGTGTCGTGCAGTCCCTGTTCAAGTCGCGTACGACTCCGGTGGCGAATTACTTCTGCGATTGGTCCAAGTGGCTTCCCATCATGGAGAGCTACGAAGGCAGGAAGCCCGCCTACTTTGCCACGCCTCCCGTCAACCTCATCCGCGGTCTGCACACCAGGCAAGCCACACTCACCCCCCCTCTCCTCCCAACCCGCACGTGGCGATCCATGTGGTCCATTCCTGTGTTGTCTCACAGTCTTCACAGCCTCTACGAGATCCTGAGCGAGGGTGAGGGCGCCATGGACAAGCGCTTCAAGGCCCACCAGACCGCTGGTAAGGCCGTCAGGGAGGCTGTCAAGGCACTGAACCTCACCGTACGATCACATCGCATCAGGAGTGGACTAATGACTGTGTCTCGTGTTTCTGACACTCTGCGGGGCGGCGTACGTGATTGATCGCAGACCGTTGCCGTCAGCGACAAGCTGGCCGCCAACACCATCACGGCGGTGCGTTTCCCGCAGGGTGTCAGCGGCCCAGCGCTCCTCCCCAAGGTCAAGGCTCACGGCGCCGAACTTGCTGGTGGGTCCCTTTTCCAACGCTTTTTCGGCTTTGCGTGTCGTGTGTCGTGTGTGCGCCCTGTGTCCCTCTTCATCGAGTAGAGACTAACGAGACACGTTGGCGCGCGCGCAGGTGGTCTGCACCAGGCGATCAAGGCCGAGTACTTCAGGATCGGCCACATGGGAGTGTCGGTCACCGATCTCAACCGCGGCCACCTCGAGCAGACCATCAGAGCCGTCGAGCAGGGTCTGGTCGAGTGCGGCTACACCGGCTTCGAGAGAGGCGCGCCTGTCAAGGCCCTCCAGCGCGTCCTCACTGCGCAGTAAGCCAAGAGTCGACAACAAAGATCAATGGAAACACAAAAGCCAAAATGAAAAATAAAATTTAATCAAAGAGAGATATCAATCAAAAGAACAAGATGTCCACCGGGTTCGGATTCCAGGGAGCGGGGCGGTGCTACCCCATCTGGCGAGACTTCGCCCTCTGCAAGAACGGATCGGCCAACCCCGGCGAGTGCACTCCTTTCTTCCAGGATTACATTACTTGCACCTACGGCTGGGTACCCCCCCTCGCAATTACGCTCTAATTTCCTATCACAATCCCTTGCCGCATTGGGTCCTGTTTCGCCTTTATCCATGCCCAAATCGCTAGCGAGCCATTCACTGTTAACCCCACAATTGCACCGCCAATCAATTCATTAGGCCGATCCCGAGAATGTTGAGCTGTTCAAGCGCCAAGTTGCGCTCTCGGAGGAGCAGGAGAAGTGGCAGAAGCAATACGGCAAGAAGATGGCGGCGCACGTGCGAACGTTCGAAACCGAGGCCGCGTACGAGGAGTGGAAGGAGAGCCTCGGCGCCAAAGTTGTCGAGACCCCCGCCACCATGGACGAGCTCAACGCCTTCACCAAGGAGAAGCTCAACCCCCAGTGATGCCCTCATCATCGCCCACTTGTGTGCTATGCGTGTATGTTGAATGAAGGCTCCACTCGTTCTTGCCCAAAACATCAGCGCACACGCGCGTGTCGTGTCACTGCACTCGGACCACCTCCACGAGCGGGAGGCCGGGCGCGAACAGGGACTGCCCGATGGTCAGCGTAGCGCCATCGACGCCGGGCAGCACCTCGACGGCCGCCACGCCCGTCTGCCGGGCGATGAAGTGCGCCAGGCGCCGGATGAAGACCTCCTCGTCGAACGATGCCTGTCGCACGCTCGCCAGGCCGCCCTCTAGCATCACCTCCTGACCACCGAGCCAATGATTGAGTTACAATAGTACAACACAACACACCACACCACCACAACACAACACACCTTGAAGTGCGCTGTCATGGCGATGAGGTTTCGGATGTGCGGCCGCAGGACTGGGTCGGCGACCACGGCCCGGCGCACGGCCTGCGTGACGTCGCCTCTGAAGGACGCACCAGTGCCAGCGCCCGCCTCCTCCTCCTCGTTGTCGTTCATAGCTGTGGCCTCGGCCTCTTCTTCAGCACCATCGATGAAGAGTGGGGTCATGACGTCGAGGATCTGCTGCGCCCAGGGAGGCAGGCCCCGACACACGGTGATGCGGGCCACGGTGCGCCCGCCCTGGCGGCGTCGCGCCGCGATGACGGATGCGACGAGGTGCTGCAGGAAGCGCGATTGCTCGCTCACGCCGCGCGACGTCGACGACCGCACGCGCGCCACGTCCATGAACCACAGGGTCGCCCCCTTGACGCCCAGGCTGATCCGCACCTTGGGCGGGACGAGCCCGTCATCGAGGCGGTAGCGGGGCTCAACGCTGACGTACTTGTACCACCAGCGGCTCATCTCGCGCGCGGTGGACTCGACGTCGGTCCGGTCTTGCGGGAGGAAGGGGCTGTTCTGGTCGTGGTCCGCAGTGGCGACCTCCTCCTTCCGCCTGGCGATCCACGAGCGCCACACGAGCGCGCTGAAGCCGCGGCACACGGGCAGCAGCGCGCACGCCGTTATCTGATCGTCACGAATGGATTGAGATAAGCCTTTTGGGTAGGGGCCTCCATCTCGAGCGAGCGGGTGTTGGGCGCGCGCGTGCCTTGCAGTATCGGCGTAGCAGGGCGGCGTTGCACTCGGGCCACGCCTTGGTCGGACCGGTACTGTCCAACACCAGCAGGCACCTGTCATCGTGCACTCTTTTATAGATTGAATGCAGATGGCTGGCGAGAAAGAGAGGAGGGAGGGAGGTAGGGAGAGAGGCCACGGACCGTGATAGGATGTGGGGCAGGGAGACCAGGACCAGGTGGACCACCTTCTCCAGGTCGTACGAGTGGAGGGCGCAGGCCACCGCCTTGAAGGCCTGGTTCAAGTCGTTCTTGAACTGGCGGTCCACCAGCGCCTGCGAATCACCGCCGCACCATCACCACCGGCCTAAGAGAAAAGTACAGAGAGAAGAGGGGGGTGGGCACGCAGGTTGGGTAGCGTACGAGGTAGGCGCTGTCGTGCTTTCCGCTGCGGCTGGCATCATGCAGGTGGCTCATGATGTGGCACACCAGCTCCAGCGGCAGCTGCCCAAACGCCGACTCGGGCTGGCGCAGGTGCGCCCACAGGACCAACGCTCGTTGGCGCTTTTGTTTGAGTGGAGAGAAGAAGAAGAACAGAGAGTGGGTATACGCCAGGGGAGGGGTCTATGGGGCGGGCGTCGTCGTACGCCAAAGTCTGCGCGCATGCTGGATCGGTGGTTGTGGAACGCCTGGAATCACTCACTTGAGCTTCAAGTGCGCACGCACGCAGGCGAACACGGGCGTGGTGTGTGGAGTGGTGTGGTGTGGAGTGGTACCTGGAGGTTGGTGTTGACCCGGTGGAGATTGTGCACGGCCAGCCTGCCGCCCTGGCTCTGATAGGTACCCCTGGCGACCCGCGTCAGACGGTTCACGGACGCGCCGAACGTTCTGTCTATTCGATGTGTCCAGCCGTACTCTACCACCACTCCGGACACCCGGACGTGCTGTGTGTGGTCATAATGAGCGCACGGCCGTGTGTGATCGTGTGGTGCGTGCGTGTGTGTGTGTGTGTGTGTATGTGTGGCATGCATGTGTGCGTGTGCGGCGACGAGGTGAAAACCGTGGGGCACATGGTAGGTCCCCAGAACGCGACGTGGCACAGGATCAGGGACCAGAGGGACTGAAGCCCGTGGGCCGAATCCGGGACCACCAGCATGTGCATTGGGTACCTGGTAAATGGGGGACGAACCACCGCCAGCGACGCCCACCGTAATTCGCTCATCATCAGCTTCTTCTTGGGGAGCCTGTGTGTGTGCTTAGTGTGCAGTGCGTGCGGTGTGTGCGGTAATGTGCGTGCGTGTGCGATGCTGCGCGTGGGAGATGACGGAAGGGTGCAAAGTTACCACGAGCGGAAGGCCTGGCGGGCCTCGGCTAGCACGGCCCAGAGCGCGGGCTCCACGACGGACTCGTGGACAGGGGGTCTGCCCATGGGCTGGAACACGGCGTCCCAGTCCCGATCCGTCATCACCCCCTGTCGCGGCATTATCTTCACCACCGATGTCAGCGCGTGTGCGACGAGTGAGGAATGGAATGTATGGAATGGAACGTATGGAGCGCCAACATACCTCGCAAGATGTGCGCAACAGCCAGGAATGCGTGCACCAACGCTTGCTCGCACGTGGCGCGAGCACCAGCCTCATGATATATATCACCACAGGCCCGGGACACCAGAGCGAAGGTCAGCGCAGCGATGAGTGGACTACCCTTTTGCTAGGTGGGTGGATGGGGGGCTGCGTACTCGGGCGCCCAGGGCAGGGTGACGCCAGTGCCCGCGTATCCGGTGATGAACCACCTGTTCTGGGCGTTGAGTGCCGTGGCCAGCCGGCACTGCCAGGCCTATAACGACCCCTCCCCCAGATCAGTGTACATACGACTTGTGGGTGTGGGTGTGGTGGAATCTCAGGAATGCATGAGGCGTACGTTGTTGATGCATTCCTTGTTGCGCAGCTGCTCGATGACGTGCAGCGCGTCGGCCTTCCACTCCTGCGACGCCCGGCCATCGCCAGCCAGGGGGAAGTAGTAGCTGTCCATCAACGCCACGATGCAATCGTCGCCTGGCGGTGAGCCACACACATTGTGTGGTGAGATGTTACAATCGTTGACTGCTCGTTTTCATAGACAAAATTGTTGAGCGGGAGCGGAACCGGCCAAGGAGAGCACTTGCGCGTCGCAGGTGAAGTAGGAGAAGGCGTGCGGGCTGGCCAAGACCCGTTCTTTGCCGGCGCAGACCAGATCGACGATAGACCTGAGCGTAAGGATCACCCACAGGCCAACCGCCACCATCATCATGACGTCATCATCATCATCAACGTCGGTGGGTGGTGGAAGAAGATGAGGCGCGGCGAGTACTCTGCGTGCTCAGTATCCGCGCCCTCTGCACTGATGTAGAAATAATCGGAATTGGCCTTGGGGTCGCTCTGGTAAACGTATTAGGTAGGTCACGGTGGCAGAGAGCGCAAGGAAGTAGCACGAGTGGCGAGCGTACCGGTAGCTGAACCTCGACGGACACGGTGCTCTTGAGTTGTCCCGCGATGGCGCAGCGCACCTGCAGCCCCGCCATATCGCAGCCCCTCATCTCCGCCAGCTGCAACAACTCTCCGCGCGTCTTCTTGATCGCTCGGGGCGCCGTCTTCGCGACTGTCTCGGTCT